GAGACGGTCGCGCGCGCTACTTTCACCACAATCAAATACGTCTACAATCAGAACGGGACTGCCTTTCGTATAGTGTTATAGTGTGTAGTGTTTATAGAATAGTGCAATCATAATGAGAGAATACGTAAGTTTTTTTTAATGTATTCGAGAATTATTGTTGTCAGTTCGGTTATTAAAGATCTTTGTTTTATTCTGCTTCTTCTAAATCTTGTTCAAAGTTATGTAGGTTAAACTGTTTTATGTAGGTTTCCTTTATTATCAGTCTAAAATTGATAAAGGTATTGTTAATTTTAATAGTTTTTCATGTTTCAACTGTATTACATGTTAATAATAAGTAAGACCACTTGCACAACTTCCAAAATATAATATTTTTAGAAGCTTCCGTTCGTCTTTCCGGTTTGTAATCTATTTTTCAAACAGTCGCTGGCATCTGATCGGTATGAAGTTTTGTTATTTCGGTGTGTAATGCAATATTATGGTGAGCTGCTTGATTGAGTTGGTTCCCATACGAACTTCTAAATATATAAATTTATCGACGATTATTTGATTAAACAGAATATTAATATGTTTTATTGGGTCGAAATAACAGTCCGAAAACGTGTTTACGAAGTCATTTTCCGTTAAATTAAACATGATAATGAAAAATAATTGCAAAATTTTCCGAGATTTTAAAGGAACGAATAAACTCCACCACACAATTCTCTTACTAATATTTTGAATGTTGATTCCACAGTAAATAAAATAGGCTTAATAATGATCCATTCAGATTTGACGAAGATATTCCCTGTTATGTTGTACTAATAGAAAGTCAGAGAAATTGAATAGTGCTTTAAAATTTGCAAACAGAAATTTAACCAAATAATTCCTTTTAATAATTTTCCTATTTATAGTACAGTATCCTCTATAATTGAGAGGTGCTTGAGAGTTAAGTAAATAATGTTTGCGAATAAACATTTTGTTTAATTCTAAGCAACAAAGTTTAGTTAAGATTGCGTATGCGAACTTTAATCCATTTTTTTATTATATATATATGGAATGTCAGCATTCCATATTCATTCATTAAAAAAATTGATTGATTTGACTTGACTATATCGATTGATTGGTTGATTTATTGACTTGCCTTCGCTGACAGTGTAGGCTAGCAGGACACCAGTGGAAGAAGATAAAATAAGCATGAACTTGGTCAGTTAGCCCATCCCGGCGTGTATCGCCACGTGAGTTCAAATCTAGCGCATATTAAAAAATAAACTTTCATTGTAAATTCATATTTCTGAGTTTGAATGACTGTTCGGCGAAGGGAAGTGGCCCCATCACTTTAGATTCAAATATACCCAATGAAATGTGGGCATGTAAAGGAGGATCGTTGGAAGGACAAACGATTGATAGATCACGCGGTAGGGGCACTATGCAAAGTGTTGCGTTTTACGTTACCTCTATTGACAGCATATCTGTCTACCCCATACGGGATATTAATCGTGAAGCTATATTTATTTTGTTTGTGGTAATCACGATGGTTTCGTGGGTGAAATCGTATGAAGATCGACCTGACGTGGTACATTGCTATCAAGGCATATATATATATGTAGGGCTACTCTTTGGTATCTCAATGCTAACGCTTAAAGCAAGAGAAGGAATGTGGATTAATAATCCCATTGCTAGCTATGTACCCTGTCATATTGACCTACGCGCTTTCCGCTGGAAACGATCGTGATAATTTCCTACTAAATTTGCCACTATAGCCTAACTGACCAGACCTCATGTTCATCTTATCATCACTGGTGCCCCACCAGCGTAAACCGTTAATGTAAGCGGATGCACCATTACTTTATCATCCCTTAAAAAAACCTTTAAAGATACGTAGATAATCACCTTCCCTCGACCTATTTAAAGCGGGTACTGAACGTTTAACTGCAACAATCTGTGCTCAGATAACACAGAACTATTAGTATCTCCTAGTTTTCTCGTGGGTGGAGTTATTGATAACTAGTAACTGGCGATGTTTGTAACTCGCTATGGGTATTTTTTTTAAATAAAAAAAAAACATGCTCAAGTTCATCTGATTATTTTGTGTTTATTTTTGTTTTATAATCCAAACTTACTTTTAAATTACTGAATAAAATCATAATTGGTCTGCTCTAAATGATTATAAAGAATTTTATATGTAGGTTTTTTTGTCTTTCTATCACATGACAAATCACTACTCAATAATTATTATGAAATAAATTAAATGATTAATTAGTTTCTTATATAAAGGTTAAGTAATTTACCGCTGTCAAATGGTTACTCAAGAATTGGTGTAGATTAAAAAAATGTCCTACTCACTTACGTCCTCAGACGACATTTATAAGTAATATACTGATTCATGTACTATTAGTCGTATTTTAAAAAATATGTATTTATCTTGAAAATAAACTTGTTTTTGTTTTAAGTAATTTTATCGTCAATCCTGGAATTATAGTCATACATACAATTATAGGATACATGTTTATTTTTCTACAGATAAAAAAGAAGATTTATTAATATTTAGAAAGAAATATGAAAAGGTATATGAGTACTTAGGGAGAATATAGCAAGAACGGTAGTTTTTTACGAATTAAATGCAGAAATCGTCTAATTGTTAGTTCCAAATACATTGTCACAATTGACAGGTGTTTTTATTGCAGCTATGTGTTATAGCAAAGTGGAAAATTATATTTTTTTACAATATTCATAGCTTGTGTATGGTCAAGTTACAAATTTAGTAAACTGAATTTATATTCAGTTTTCCACTTTGTTTCTTGGTAAAAGTGTTTAATATTAATAAGTTTATCTTACTTTCGTCGTGGCATGTCTCTTAGCTATAATAATATTATTTATTTCTTTCAGTTATTTATATAACTATTTCGACATTCATAACCACATAGGTCGGAGCTTACACGACAGAGCGAGACACGACGGGCCTTACCGTTAACTGACACGATTCTAGTACCTACATACTGTGTATTGGATTCTAGTCTACTTCTGACGTCATTCATATAAAAACTAATTGCACAACGTTTAATCATTACTGATAATACAGACTTGAAAGTGAGTCCGACTGTACTCAGTTGGTTAATTAAACTGAAACTGATAATCCAAATATATTTTATCACAGGAGGCTTCAATTTTGACGACATTTTATCTGAAGTTCTAACTAATTTCACATTGTTTAATCATTACTGATATAGACGTGAAAATATGTCTGACTGTACTTAGTTGGTTAATAAATCTGCCACTGATAATGTATGAAAAAATATTATTAATTAGGTGTCCATTTTGACGACTATTTCCTTAAAATACCCAAATAAAAAAAATACCCTAAAATACCCTACTTTCTAATCTTGAAGTTCTAATTTCACAATGTTTAATGATTATTGATATAGATGTGAAAATATGTGTGACTGTACTCAGTTCGGTAATAAATTTTACACTGATAATATATCCAAACATATTTTGTTACAGAACGTTCTGATTTTGACTACTTTTTTCTGAAGTCCTAACTAATTTCACAATGTATAATCATTATTGATATATATGTAAAAATATGTGTGACTGTACTCAGTTCGGTAATAAATCTTACACTGATAATATATCCAAACATATTTTGTTACAGAACGTTCTGATTTTGACGACTTTTTTTCTGAAGTCCTAACTAATTTCACAATGTATAATCATTATTGATATATATATGTAAAAATATGTGTGACTGTACTCAGTTCGGTAATAAATCTTACACTGATAATATATCCAAACATATTTTGTTACAGAACGTTCTGATTTTGACGACATTTTTCTGAAGTCCTAACTAATTTCACAATGTTTAATCATTATTGATATATATGTAAAAATATGTGTGACTGTACTCAGTTCGGTAATAAAGCTTACACTGATAATGTATCCAAACATATTTTCTTACAGAGCAATCTGATTTTGACGACCTTTTTCTGAAGTCCTAATTAATTTCACAATGTTTAATTATTACTGATACAGACGTGAAAATATGTCTGACTGTACTCAGTTGATTAATTAACTTGACGCTAATAATGTATCCAAACATATTTTCTTACAGAGCAATCTGATTTTGACTACTTTTTTCTGAAGTCCTAACTAATTTCACAATGTTTAATCATTACTGATACAGACGTGAAAATATGTCTAAGTGTACTCAGATCGGTAATAAACATTCTTATACAGCGCTCCGATTTTGATGTAATTTTTTTTTAAGTTCTATTTATAAAAGCGATACTCTGTCTGTTAAAAACGACCTTATTATAACTAAACGTCTGAAGAGATCGCAATGAATTTTCTCATTATGATAGATTGAATGAAAAGGTTCGATATAGACTAGTTTCATCTAAATAGAATGAAAAACATGGTAGCTCATACGAACAAGAAAACAAATATTGAAGGGCAGGGGATTGTTACTATATGGACTTGTGTTCGCCCTGGAAACCATCTTTGTTAATTACTGGTGAATTTGTAATGATGGGCTCTGACTTTCTGATCATTATTATATTCTCCACTAATACCCCGCCAGCGTATATTGTTAGGCCAGGAAACTGCACTATTTCTTTGTCACCGATTGAAAAAAGCGCATATCGTTAACGTAGGCGTGTGTGCAGAAATATTACTTTTTTAACGTCCTAAAAAATAATACAAATATTTATTCATTATTACTGTAAAAAATAAAAAAAGCGTATATCATTAGCGAAGGCGGCTGTACAAATCATATTATTTTTTATCGTCAAAAAAAAAACAAATATTGAATTATTATCACCGTAAAAAATAAAAAAGCGTATACCGTTAGCCCAGACGTGTGTGCACAAATCCATTTACTTTTTTAACGTCATAAAAAATAAAACAAATATGTATTCAATATCACCGTAAAAAATATAAATAAGCGTGTACCGTTAGCGCAGGTGTACAAATCTATTATTTTTTTATCTTCATAAAAATATTGATTTTTATATATCGCATTTCAGGAGTTCGGAGAACCTAAAGAGTCTGAGAAGGCAACCAGCGAAGAGTACTCGGTCGCGAAATGGTTGAAGAACAACGTCCCCACAAAGAAAACCAAATTTCTGAACCATCATGTCGAATATTTCACAGGTATTATTGTAATGATTTACGATTCTTAATATTGTCCGACCTCAGTGGTCAGACGTCTGACGGCTAGCGGTTGGCACACCGCTTTACTTACATAGTCTCATCGTCAAAGCGTGCCCCGGTCAGACAGAACAACATTACAACGCAATGAATTTGGACTAGCCATCCAAAAACGTGTGATCAGACAATGTTTACGTTGTCATCAACGATTCTATTAATGAAACTACGCATATGAAATATGGTGCCGCCAAATTGACTAGGACTTTAATGCGTCATGCTGTTGCCATCAATATCTGTTGGCGTGATATTAATAATACCATACCCTAACGACTTATATCGCAGGCGGGGTAGGCAGGATAATGGAGGCGTTTTTAAGGGTCATCTCTTGATAATGGAATGGTGCCCTCACCGGCGCTAAATTTATATGGTGGCAGGACACCAGTGGAGAACGATGAGATGAAAATTCGACAGGAATTTGTTCATGTAGGACATTTTAGCCGCGTCAATTTTTTATATTAAATATTTTTCCCTACCGTCCAGTTCAGTAAGCTTAAAGTCGTTTTCTCAAGATTTTGTAATTAATGCAATTTTGTGATATTTCTACTACCTTTCAATTGTTATTATTATTCTTAGTGTAAACTATAATTATCGCTGTAATTGTTTCCTCTGTTCGACTGACCTGATTTGCAGGTTATCGAATTTAATGTTTTGATACAGTCCTCCACACTCGCGTTTGTAAGAACCGAGCGTAACTAATATTGTACCAGCTTCTAGGCCAGAAGTGTCAAACACAATTTTACAGAGGGCAATGTATTAAATTTAGAAAGTTTAGGTATGCAGACCAGATGCAAATAAAAAAATATACTGAATTATTATAACATTTTATTTTATTTTTTTATATTCTCTATAATATAAAAATGATTCGCTGAATGTGTTGCTAAGCGCAAATCTGGAGAACGGCTGAACCGATTTCGCTAATTCTTTTTTTAGAATATTCCTATAAGTATAAGCATGAGGATGGTTATTACGGATAATAAAATTTAAAAAATTGCCTTTAAAAGTCTATTTCTGTACCTCCACACAAACGATTCGTAATAATACTTAGTCAATCTGAACTTTAATACCATACCATAAAGTTCAACTGTTAGTGGAGATGTTCCGCGAATACAAAACAATTTAGTGACGTTAGTATCGTATATATATTGATAATATTTATTCATCAGTCGTCAATATTTGTCAATATTTATACATTAGGCGGTACAATGATCGCCGGGTCGACTAGTATAGTATATAATGACACATTGCGATCACGAGCTTTATTGATACAGCCAGGGGGCCAGGGGGAATGCGGCCCGCGGGCCGTATGTTTGACATGACTGCTCTAGCCACATCGGCACAAGTACCGTGAAGTTAATGTTTAACAACATTTGTAGTTTGATATAACAAATTCGTGTTATAAATATTACTATGCAATATCAGAGCGAAATTGTATGCAGTCATACTCAATTTTTTTTTTATGGATTAGTAAGGATTGGTGCACCTGTCTGCGGTAACGGTATAGCGGGGCACCAGTGGAGGATTATTTCAGGAGGTCAGGTCAGTTTGCCTACTGTAATTAAATAAGCAGGAATTAATCACGATAGTATCCAGGGAAGACCACGAAGGTGGACCTGCCAACATTGCCGGCAATGGGGTTATTGGTCCAAATACAAACAATCCCATTCCGCTACGATTTTATCCCAGATAGAGTAGTCGAGGTATTGTCAATTGTACATGTCGTAGTTTACGCAATACATGCCTACTTTTATTTTATTAAGGAAGAACATATTATATAGAATATTTTATTTAATAAGGAAGAAGAATAAATCCGTAGCAAAATAATTGACAATCTATCTTCTACGACAGTACTCCACAAAGTATTTGTCATAAAACGTTAATGAATAAGAACAGAATAAAAATAGAATAAGAATAATTTATTTCTGCCAATAAAATACATAAAACAAAATATATTTCAGAATGTGCCGACAGGATGTTCATGTGCGGCTTTGGTTTTTCAACTGGACTCTTTTCTAGCAAATTTAAACATAATATAAAAAAAATAAAAACTAGGGTAGCACAACACGGGTGATAAAGAATAATGTATAGAAAGTAAAGTAAAGAATAAAATCATAAATTGGCTTTATCTAATTATATATATGGTGTAAGTGATTAATAATGAAAATATATTACTTTCAGGGACAAAAGCAGTGGATGCACTACTGACATCCAAGTGGGCGACCGGCAAGAACCCTATATTCACGACCCGTCACGAGGTCCGGGACTTTCTGCACAAAATGCTGCTGCACAAACTATTTCACAGAGCCAAGAAGGTAATAAAAGCAGTACCGTACTGTATTTATATGTCTTTAACAGCTGACCCAGGAAACATTGTTTAGCCATACAAAAATAATATCGCTATAAAATATGGGGGTAGATGATAAAAGGTTCCCCCTGGAAACGATTGTGATAAATTCCTAGTGAATTTGTCCCGATGGGCCAACTGACCTGACTTCATGTTCATCTTATCATCCTCACTGTTGCCCGCCGCGCAGGCAGGTGCGCCATTTCATTATCATACACAATAAAAAAACTAGGCGGGTGGGACCCGCCAGGGGGTTGACGAAGGGTGTGTGGACTTCGTGGCTTGTGCGTTAAACAGAGGCATCCATGTAGAAAACGTACAAAGCCTATCTAAATAGAAAGGGAAAAGAAATTTTAAAATAGCTCTTTACTATAGTGTTTGTTTTTTTTTGTTAGTTTAAATGGTTATCTTAAAGAAAGTTAATTTTATTCAACTAACACTAAGTTAGTCAATTAGCTTGTAACCAGTAGTAAGCTAATGAGTACATTAGTTAGTTTCCTCTTTAACAATTGTAATTCAAGGAATATTAATCAAATAGGAAAACGAAATGATTTTTGTTTCCTCATCAGTGTGAAATGCGAATGACAATGAATTATGAAAATTTTAAACACAAACATACTTACTATGCTCTTAAATGCTTGTAATTAGATGCACTTGATATAGATCTATAATACAGACATAATGGGATTGTAGTTAAAAAAAATCAACACAACACAATAACACTGCGTCACGACTGTTTGTGTCCATGGGCATTGTCAGTTATTGACGACATGGCAGACACAATATTTAACATGGCCACATTTCACTGGACCCATCTGTATAGTTGGCAAGACAGGTTCACTTGTGTGTATTGAAATAGTAAACCAAAATATTTTCTTCATGTTAATATAATGTGTTTATTTTTAGAATTTGCTAAATAGACATATAATTCAACATTATTTCTTCGTATTTCATTTCATATGTAGAATAATATCTATATCTAAATATATCTATATATACCATATATCTATACATGGAAAAGTAATAATGTACATAAATATTATCTTTACATAATATAAAACAAAGTCTCTTATATCTTTTAAATTAAGCAACGTATTTTTACTGCAATAGATAAAGTAATTTAAGAGGAAGGTTTGTATCTATAATACATGCATGTTATAGTATAGAACAAGCCGAGAAATTCAAAGCTTTGTAATGCATCCATGCGAAGCGGAAACGGGTCGCTTGTTAAAAATAACATACTAGATCGTATGTTGTTTGTAGTAATAATAATTGAACTGGTATCTCATGTCACTTGTTACTCCTTTACAGGTTCCAGTTAGTGAGCAAGAATTGAAAGGGAAATCCAAGAAGAAAGATAAAGAACAAGAGAAGTCCAGTAAGAGTGGAGATGACAAAGATGGTGAGAAGAGTCAAGCTAGTGCCTGTGAGGGCAAGGTATGTATTATTTTATAATAATAAAAATAATCCTAGTCAATTTACACAGCGTGATGTAGTCCCAAATTAAACATAACTTGTGTTATGGGTACTAGATGAGTACTAGAAATATTTAATTTGTTATTCTGATGAATCGAACCCACGACCATCGGAAGTAAAGCGGAGTGGTATACCGCTAAGGCTGTCATTTGGTACTAGTAAATCTACTTATGAGTAGACTGATCTACATATGTACGCTACACTAGCAGCCCATTTCTCCTGTGCACATTGCAATTAACGTTTTATTAGGGGTAACTAAATTTCTTCTAGTAAGAAATACAATGATGTCCGTAGTACTGTTCAGGTGACTATACAATACACATCAACCGCGTTACCGTTTACCATAACCATATCATACAATACCAGAACTTGTAGTAACTAGAAATCAAAATCCTCCTTGTTTTGAAGTTGGTTGATAAATATTGTTTTTACAGTTGTTTTTATTTCTCTGTCACAGGCATGTGCGCTGTATAATTTTCTGTTTTATCGCAGGAAACCAAAGATGTGAAAGAGAAGGAGAAGAAAAAACGCAAGATCCGCCTCGAGATGCACCTGGAGCAGGTGTTCCTGGACACAACGGATGCTTACGTATGGATCTACAACCCGATCCCGTGGTACTACTGGCTGTGTGGCTCTCTCGTCGTCCTTAGTACCATCGTGCTCTGCATGTTCCCACTGTGGCCTGCTACTGTCAGGTACATATTACCTTACTTATATTAGAATTATCCTTCCAAATATTATAAATACGATTTCATACTAACTTTCATCCTCTTTTAATTTTAGTTTACCCTCTTAAGGGTAAAATTTTAGGAACTTTGAATGTCATATAGATTTATATTTAATGGACGACCTAAAAATAAGTTTCAAACTTCTAGCTTTAAAAATGACGATACTTCCATACAACCTTTCATCTCCCCTTTCAACCCCCAAAAGGGGAGATTAATTATGAACACTTTTTTCGCATTAAAATTTAGCCTATGTCCTTGGTCCTGTCGTCCTAGACAAAACAGATAGCCTAGACCTAGGACGTACCAAATGACATGTTTACAAAATATCATCTAAATTGGTTCAGTAGTTTTGGCGTGAAACCGCGACACAGACAAAACGACAGTGTTACTTTTGCATTTATAATACTAACTGAGCCCCGATTTCACCGTCGTAATGTTTATAGCCTATATGTTATTCTAATGTACAAGCTATATTACTGTAAAGTTTCATCAAAATCCGTTAGTAGTTTTTGCGGGAAAGAGTGACAAACATCTATCCATACTCACAAATTTTCGCGTTTATAAGATTAATAAGATATTTTTTTTATGTTACAGAAAAGGCGTATACTATTTAAGTGTTGCCGCTGCAGCCTTCCTGGTGATGATCATTGTCCTGGCTGTCCTCCGCGTCGTCGTGTTCTGTCTAGTTTGGATACTAACTCTATCTAGGTAAACACAAAAACATACAGTCACAACTGCTATCCCGGATGGGGTAGTTAGAGGGATTTTCATAATGAATTATTATGATATGGTTTACCCGCCTGCGCTAACGGTTTACGCTGACGGGGCACCAGTGGGGGATGATAGGATGAGCATGAGGTCAGATCAGTTAGCCCATCGTGGTAAATTCACCAGTTATTTATCAGGAAGGGATCGTTCGATCGTTATTCAAGGAGGGATCGTGTGGAGGCCAATCTGCTGTGGTACATTGTTGGTACATGGTACATGGCAATAGGATTACTATCAATTGCCTTCGCCCCTAATCAGAAGGATTGTCAATGATCAATGTAGTGAACACAATACTTGAGAAGCCCACGTTTTGCAGTATATTCGTGCCTAATTAAGTTCCCAAGCTCATATAATCACAAATACTTTATGAAAATGATTTATGATAAAATGATATATAATTGTGTCTTAATAAATTTATTATTATTTTAATCCAACAAGATAAGAGGGGACTACCGACGTTTCTTATTATCTTTACTTGAAACAAATACTTTTACCCCTTTTACAGACTAACAGAAACAATCCTACTAATGAATACATGTTTGTATTGTAAGAGAATCGAACTCGCGACTAATGGAAGTAAACCGCTAGACTTGTAGACGCGAGACTAAAGCTTATGAAGCAACAAAAATTATGAATCTGGCACTATTTTTTATCCGACTATATAAGACTTATGATTACGATAGGTATGTATGTATGATTGATAAATCATACTTACATGATTGAGTTATCGTTGGAAGTGTTGTAATCGTTTGCACCCGCAAATAAGTCAACTACCTATTAGTATATTTAATCATAAAAGATATTGTAAATTAAGCATTTTTATTGTTTGTCCCCAGGCATCATCTGTGGTTACTGCCAAACCTTACGGAAGACGTAGGATTCTTTGCTTCCTTCTGGCCGCTTTATAAGGTATGTAAAATCACCAAAGTTTACAAAATAATACAACTATTACAAGAATATTATTTTTTTATTATAAAAAATTAACCCGGACGGGATTAGAACCTACTTTTTCTATTTTCTTACCACTAGGCCCAGTGCTCTTACCAAAGTTAGGGACTTTCTCACTCTTCAATCGAAATAAAGCTTACAAGCTCCTGCACAAATATTTATCGCAGTAAAGAGAACTATGCCTGTGGTCTACAAAAATCTGCAGCTTTTGCCAAGCTGAAGACGAAACGCCACTACACATCCACATAGGATGTGTAGTTGTAGCCCACTCATGCAAAACTGAAATATTTCCTTTGGGTAAGGATACACTCTATCCTGAGGAGATAAATACCATCGCTGCTAAGAATATTCTTCAATTCTTGTCCCTGACTGGTCTAAGTAGCGAACTTTGAAATAGGGCGAGCACAATAGATCTATGCAGGTCGCAGTGCTACAGGTCTTAGCATCTGACAATAGTCTTAAACCCCCAAATAAAAAACATAGCTAAGAAAGTAACAAGTTCTAATTCTAGAACCTTCCACCATTTTAGTACGAGTATCGCGGGCCGGGTTCGGACAGCGACAAGTCATCTAAAAATAAGAAGAAACGCAAGAAAGACAAACAGTCCGACGACGAGAGCGAGAAGACACCACTGTTGACCGAGCAACAGCCGGAGCACAGCGTACCCGAGGCCCCGCCAGAGACAGATACTGGGGAAGCTAAGTATGTCATCATCATGATCAAGATCATCACTATTTTTGAATAATTGGAATGTCAAACAAGCTGATGATCATCCTGATGAAGTATTTTTTTTGTATTAAATCTCTTTCTTAATTGCAAATTGCGCGCGGGCAAGCGTGATATTGGACGGCTCCTTACTTCCGATGGTCGCAGGTTCGATTTCACACGGCACAAACATTTGTATTCATGAATATATTTGTATGTATCGATCTGGGTGTTTCCTATATGAAATATGCATGTGTTTATAAAAAATATATACATCTATATATGTTCATCAATTGTCTAGTACTCATAACACAAGTTCTGCTTAGCTTGGGACTAGATGGTCCTGATTAAATTGTTGTGAGATATTATTAATATTATTTGTTAATTTTGCTTTGATACCGATGCTTTCATCGCCAGAGAGCTGTTATATAAATTGACACAAAATTTTAGTATCATATTCGAAATCACGGCCGGTTTAGTCGCGTTACTACACGGTTTGGCGATAACTGTCTCACTCTCGTTTAGTTTGGTCATATAATTTACAGTGATTCTTTATACACTCGACAGAGAGGAACCTCTGCTGACCAACACAGACAAGCAATCCGAATCGGAGTCGGAGAACAGTCAGCGTTCTTCAACAGATCGAGACTTCGAGATCGTGGGGCCAGATGACGTCGAACCCGACGAAGATTCTAATGCGTAGACCCGGTACATTCGTATGACGTGAACGCACTGGGTAGTGGCAAGTTAAACTCATATAAAATTCTTTATACACGATATCAGGGCTGCTGTAAGACATAGCATTGCGGTATCACGCTGTAGTTTTATTAGACTGATATTATTGAGAATTCTAAGCATTATGTTTGCATAAAATATCCAGTGGCATAATATTACAGAACAATGATAAACAACTAAATTATCAAAGTATAAAATCTGATATAGAAATTGGTTATAAATATACTTAATGAACGTACATTAGAATTATTTTGTGTTTTTTGCTTTGCTGAATTCAAATTATATGGCGAAAAAGAAGAAAATATGCATTAAAAAAATAATAATTGTCTGTTCTGAGATGAGTTGCATAATTGTTAGAAAACTTTAGACATTTAATATTAAACTATGCTATACTACATTTTAATATATATTATATTATATCAGCAAAATAGAAGTTGAATAAATTTTATAAAACGTAATTATATGGTATTACTGTAAATATACTATTTTGTGTCGACAGATTTACTTTTTAATTATTTATACAGGGTTATAGAAAGGGCTTTAACCGCAATGCTCTGTGGACATGTTAAAAATATTGATACGAAATTAATTGATATATAAAATGCATTTATTTACATTATTTATTTACTGTAATTGTTAAAGAAGTATGAAGATTTATATTGAGATGTGAATTGATATCTCAAAACAGTATTATTTGTCACTGACCCACTGCGTTCTGATACTAGATGAATTAGTAATAATTGGAACAGGGGTGCCAACCTACGAGGATCCTCTGAAATATAAGGTGATTAACCTTCTGTACGAGGACATTTTCATCCATAAGGATGTTATAAAATAATAAAGTTTTGACGGATCTGTTCAAATGTTATAAACGAGGTTAGACAGCCAAATTCAGCTAATACATTTTGACAGATTTTCAATGTTCTCGTACAGAACTATGTGTTTTAAGGCTGGCAACCCTGGGAAGTATTCCGAATCAAGGGTATTGTTATGATGTTACATGTTTTTCGATTAAAGCCTCAAGAATTTTGCTATAAATATAAATCATGGTTAGTGATTTATTTCGTCATCTTCGCACTAATGTATAATTACAATAGTTAAAATTACAATGTAGCTCAGTGTACGTTACACGCTTAATAGACTTGGAAATGTTAAAATAGTCATGAAGGGTGAATGAAAGTTTTGTAACTCTCGACTGAGTTTCAAAAATGTCTCGTTTAGTACTATTTTTTTTGTAATTAGAACGGTAAAACCATTCTATTTACAAGAAAAAAGAACTGACGACCGATTTGATGAATGGCAATCACTACCACTGGCCACTATTCTCATGTCATCATATATTATGAGAATAGCACCACGGAATCACATATTTGACCTGTTGTACCTGTCGCACTCATGTCGTCGTCTGATCCTAATGTTGCCAAAAATTGTTCTTTTCAATTTTTCTCTTGACAGTTGTACAAAAAAAGTGGGTAATTCATAGACAATTACAATCGTAGGGCTGTGATTTGTTTGTTTACATTTCCTCATGTATATCATAACTTTATGTATGGAAGATATATTGAGGACTTGTGATGCGATTGTAACTCATGTGTTATTGCAATTTATTATCTGTTAATTTGCCGTGTAATGTACACTACTACCGTAAAAATGAATTTAGATATTAATCTTGCCCTATGTATTCGTATAACCTATATAGACAAATTTTGTGCTGTATTTATGCATATAACAATATGCATATTATTTGTTTTGTTATGTCCATTAATATGTTTTGTGATTTATTTGGTGCTGTACTAAGTATAGACGGTACTGTTATTGTTATTCGATGGATTTTGAACTTTGTCGTGAAACAATTACACAGTGACAGGTAATAAATATTATAGTATTTTGTCACAACGATATTATTGTCAACTTTCATCTTTTTAACATTCATTTATCAATAAACTGTTATAATGACATGGAACTTCCAACCAAACCAAGATATAAATAATATTAATTTTAATTTAAGAGTACAGATCCTCTAAAGTCTTTATTTTTTTATTTTATATTCATATGTACAGAAAGTCCAAAATCCTTTGTATTACAATTGTTTCTGTTCTTGAGAATGAATTGATGAAGCATTCGGAATTCATGAATGCTCGATTTTTTCCAGGAATTCTATCTTGAAAATTGTTATATTGATGTGTCATATTATTTTGATTCCAAAGGTATGTAAATTGTAACCTTAAATTCACAATATTAAGTATCATATTAGAATGTTATCTATAATGTTAGCATTTCAACTCACTGACTTATATACACTTAGGGTTATATCATAATGGTGATTTGTCAGCAAATGCAAACCGACGAAAGCATAGCGTGCGCGCTAGTTGTGGACAGCGAGCCAGTGAAATTTGAACTTTCTCACTCGTGTATTTATGGCTAAATTTGGGTGTACAACACATCTCTACTATGTTCCCATTGCTAGCAAAAAATTGATGCTATTGGTGGTATACTTCATATTACAGACGCCTCGGAACTAGGGATGATCGATATTTCAGAAACATGTACAATATAATAAATGTCGAATAAAATGGTCGATGTCAGAAAACATAAATGTTTCCCTTGCTCGATCTGATTTTCTATAATTTTGCATATAGAATGTTCTTTTGTCAGTATGAATTTCTGATTTCTTGTTTGGGTTTCCTTGCTTATCTTGTGAACCTTCGCAGGTGCCCCGCCAGAATATACCGTTAGTTAGTTATCATCCATACAAAAAAAACAGTTTGCTTTTTAGCCTATTAGTTATCAAGTTATTAGAGAATTCATATCTTGGGTGTCATTTTTTTTAAACCTATCCAGGTACTATTTTTTGTCGATAAAATTCGATATCGAATCAATCATATTTATGACTTGTCGATGTTAAAATATCGATGTTTTTACACTAAATACCAATGTTTATCAATCATCCCTACCGTAATGTACGCTGCAGACCCGTCACGAGATCGATGCGTGTTGATTGTGAAGACGTTGCGCTTTCGCGTCGCTTTTAATTCGCTATTCAAATCGCCAGTGTGATTTTCTGTGTTTGTATTGTATATACATACTCATAACAAGATCTTATTGGTGTTATTAAACAACGTGTATTTATGTCAATCAACGGCAATTCAATAAAACGATACTCTTTTTAAATGATCTTTCAATAAAACCAACCAATTCCTTTTGGTCTGAAATTACATATAAGAAATACGCACATTTGTAAAACACTCAATCCAATGATATATAGGTAATAGCCTAGAATACAAACAATCATAGTTATGAGTAGAAATGTTTGAATCGTGCGAGGAGTCGCACCCACGATTTAATGTTGTAAAGCGGTGTTCTAAACCACAGGACCACCGTGGCCGACAATTCTCCTCCTTATATAATATTAATATGAAGTTTTAAGCCTTCAGAATAGTTGTTTAATAGAAAGTAATTTTTAATATTTTCACACTATTTTAAGAGGGAAACAGTAACCAAAATGTTTCAACTAGTTAGTAACTAACTAATAAGCTAAGATACTGCTGAATTATAGCATGGTAAATACGATTACCACCGCCTGACAGACGGTCATCATCCCTAACGTCTCATAGGAGCCCTTTTCTTATAATAAAAAAATCCCTTTCAGTACTTAATATGTAATTGTTAAGTATGAGAAATCTCTACAGGCGCAATTAACACAAGTAGCTGCAATAGATTATAGAACCCGATACACCGATCCTAAGGTAGGTGGTGAGGGGCCATTCATTTTGTAGTTTTTAGGTTCTTGGGTTTGTCTACACGTCGTACGCTTATATGCAAAGCGTACGACGTGTAGACTACCCCCGTACTGGTGGTTGCTGAGGGTGCGAGTTGTAGGATGTTGTGTGAATTATGTGGGCCAATCCCGGCGGCACTGCAATGCCGGGCCGACCCGTGACGGGAGTGGAGCGAGCCCCGAACATCCCGTCGGATTACAAAAATCAGTTTAATATACTGGTCCCTCAGTGAGGGAACTTTCAGATATTAAGCTGAAAAGAACAGATACTACACTTTGATCTTAGCCAAAAGGCCGAGAAGCGATAACAACCAACTTGTACCGAGGGGAGGTCATTCGGAGCGAGAAAATCTTAACATCGCCAACTAGGATTTTGCATGTATTTTAAGCAGCGCCATCTATGCAATATACCTTAGTACTACATGTATATTTGTGCTTAATATGACAGTTTGTATTACCAACCATTGGATAAAGAAGTCAATGCTTTTTTTGTGTTATTGCAACTTAGTACACTATTGCGCCTTTAGATTGCAGTGATTTCAAAAAATATAACTCTTAGTAAGTGATAAACCTCCACAATTGATATTCCTTTTCCAATTAGGTTCCAAAAAAATAATGATATAATATTTAAAGCTATCGTAGCGTTATGGAGATAATTCAGTATAGTTATAATGCTGAACAACATTTATATAAAAGAGTTTCAAAAACTATCGCTCCAAAGAAATTCTTCAATTCTTGTCACTGACGGGTTTAAATTTGGTTTAAAATTCGCTATCTAGGAATTTTAAATAGAACCAGCACGATAGATCTCAGGGTACAGGTCTAAAACACCTAATAATATTTCAAACCCGTCAATATTGTAGTAGTCAATACTTCTCACCCAAGCGCGGTAGCAATAATTTCATTTAATTATTGCCGTAAATATTTACGTAAAATACCTATAAAGATATATTTTTCATTATTATAATAATACATTATAATTCTTCTTGCACGTTTTTAAAATTGTTTTAAACTGTTCATATGAATAAACTAAAGAAGGGTCCTTTTCTTTGATGAAAATTCCAATTTTCCAATTACGTGTAATTCTAATACAATAAATGGTTTAATGAAAATCTGTTTCCTAATCCTAGAGTTCTAATATCCTCGAATCTATACATAGATTTTTTGTAAAAAAAATCGTAATAGTACGTTTTGTATGGAGACTGATCGGGGACATGTAACCCTTAAGTTTAATTGAATAAAGATTATTCCTATTTCATCATGTGATCTCGTATCAAGACATATCAGACGTGTTCAAAAACAATTTAATATTCAATGAAATAGTGGACTAATTCATATGGAATTAGGGGGGTATTCAAACAATAATAACAAGTTTTGGGTTGTTTATTTTTTGCATTTGTAATAAAGTTAGAATATTATAATTGTAAATTAATAAATTATAATTTATAACGAAATAAAAATAATGCATCAACACTAAATATGTATGTATGTATATTATATGAATGAGTGATGTCAACTAAATAAGTATATGTAAAAACAATTAAATATGTATTATTAGTGTAATAAGTTTTATAGAAAGTTGGTACATATATCAAACACATTTTTTTACTTATATTTAATTATTTTTTGTAACTATAGAAAACATTTCTAACAATGTTTGACAACTAAGTACATGCCTATGTAGTTTGATTTAATAATAAAAATAAATAAAATATATTTTATAATTTATATTTCACATATTTTGTACATATTGATTATGATGTCCTCGACTTCTGAGGTTAGAAATTAATATATCTTTAATAAAAGTTATATAGGTAATAATTTTATTATTAATTTATATAAAAATAAAAAAATATATAAATTGTATTATAAGGTATTTTTCGTAAAATAAATCTAGATTTAATGTAAGCGTCAATTAATATTAAATCAGGTTTATTATTAGCTCTGCTTTTGTTTAATATTACCTAGTATGTAATTAAAATATCTCATATTTACAAGTTGCCACGCTTGTCTTGCTCCAATTCTATAGATTCGAACAAAGTTTTGAAGTTGCCTGCGCCGAATCCCTGCAAAGTTAGAAAAAAAATGGTTCATTTCGAGTCGCCATTCTTTTAAAGTGATAAACATACAGCTAAGCCGATGGTAAGGGGGAAGGAGGTATGGAGGTAATGGTGGTGTGGTATGTACCATGTTGGTTTGACCTCCACGCGGTTCCCCCTGGAAACCATCATGGTAAATTCAGAAGAATTTGTCAAGATGAGCTAACTGATTTGACTTCATACTCATTTTATCATCCTCCACTGGTGTCCAGTGTAAACCGTTAGCGTAGGCGGGTGCAACATTGCATCATCCATAAAAAACCGTATGGTAAGCAGTTTACCAATTTTTGTACAAATTATTTATTTGGAGTCATTTTGAGGGAAACCAGTATTGTGCTAAAAACTGCTCTATATTTGGACCCAACCAGATATGATCCACAAAACCGAGTCACGATATTGTAACAAATACATATTATATAAGAATTACCAGATTTCTACTTACGTTATGATTTCGCCTCTGTATAACCTCCAAAAATAGTGTGGGTCGGTCCTGTGTGTTCTTCGTGAATATCTGGAGCAGGTACCCCTCATCATCATAGTCTATGAGGATATTCAGACGTTCCAGTATATCAATACTCTCTGCAACCCTCACTTTGCTGCGAGACAAGTTTTCCCGGATGAGCTTGTAATATTTTGAAGGTATGCTGAGGAATTCAACGCCACGCGCACGTAGTTTTTCAATCTGAAATATTTTCACCATTTAATTATTTAAGTAACGTCTAATTAATTTCTTTATTATGTATATAATATTTTAGTGTCTGGGAATTTATATAAATAAAATTTAAGTGTCTACATATTTGTAATTTCAAACTCACAGCTTTTACTAAATGCATATATATAAAGGTATACAAATAAGGGCCTTATAAAAAAATATCTGCCTGTCTGTTCTTGCTAATCGCCGTAACGGCTGGACCGATTTTAAAGAGACTCGCAAGTAGCTAATATTACAAAGAGTAACTTTAGGCTATTTTTAAGTTAGGAAATTTATTAATCTAATTCGACACGATCGAAGTCGTTGGTAACAACTAGTTTTATAAATAAAACTTTTACTACTATATAATACATACAGTGGATACAATGTCCTCGGTGTTGATAGCTATGTGCTGCACCCCGGCTCCGCCGTGATATTCCACATACTCTTGGATCTGGCTCTTCTTTTTGCCGATGGCCGGTTCATTAATAGGCATCTTCACGTTTTCCTCCCAATTTGCCATCACGACTGACCGCAGTGCTGAATACTCAGTGCAGACTTGCTTATCGTCGACTGACCAAAATCTGTACAATGTATATAGAGTTGACCGCAAAGTATACAGGTATAATCGGAAAGGGTATGCTAAACAGCAGGAATTCTAACACATTACTAATTACTAATTGGTCCCGTGTGATATTGTATTCCGAAAACGATTTTGTTTTGTTCACACAAAAATAACAAAAAAAATGGCAAGAATCGGTAACGCGCGTTGTGTCTCAGGCGTCCATAGACTACTATGGAGGTAACCATTTACCATCAGATGGGTCCTACGCTTGTTTGTCATCATAGTAGTATAAAAAATAAACATATTTATTATGAAGAAGCAACCCCACACATCCAACAACAACATCCGACGTTCTTGATTAGTGGAATGGAGCGTAATCATAAAAAATAAAACACGAGGCTTGTTTTATTTTATGTTTACGCCACTGTTTTCTTGTATTCTTTTCATTTCTAATATCGTATATTATAAAACCCAACGTTACCGGCTTTTACATGTGAAATTAAAATATTTATTTTGGAATTAGGCCTTTACAGGCACTTATCGAAGGCATTTCATATCCTTCGAATCCAGTGTGACGGTATATACAAATAAATAATTCAAAAATATACCTGTGAAATTGTAGACATCTTTCGTACCAAGACGCAGCCGTTTCCATCTCGTTATCTGGTTGGTTCCCAACCACGTGGTCGATAAAGTTGATTTCTACTTTTGGCCTTAAAAAAATACAGAAATATCTTCAAAGGTCAAGGCTTTTTGTACCTACTATTAAAATATACTTTAAGATTTCCCTCGTCATTTCTAATTATATATGTTTTAATTTCTAATTATTTCTTTAAAATATTACATGTACAGTTAAATATTAGATAGAACATAACAAAATGTACCAGGTGAGTTTCTTACCAGTTCTTCTCAACTTAAGTACCTGAACTTGCGAGGTCCAATGTGAATAAATTATTTTGACTTTGACTATAAGAGAACGTCTATAATATTATTAATATATATATATTAAAATATTATATACGTGCAATGGCACGTAACACCATCTAGTCTCAAACAAAGCTGAACGTGTGGTATGGGTACTAGACAATTGATATAAATACATAGATACATTTTTTTTAAATACATTATTACATAATAAAATACATTAGTATAAAACATCGCTGTCGCTGTCTGTCCAGCCCTATGTATGCTAAATCTTTAAAACTACGCAACGAAAGAGGAAGCGGTTTTTTTAATAAAAAGAGTGATTCTAGAGGAAGGTTTATATATATAATACATGTACACTCAGGCGAAGCTGGGGCGAGTAGCTAGTACTTAATAAACAACCTTCTAATATCCAAATTATACACTGGAATAACCAATATGCTGACGGCGCATATTTAACAATGGAAAGTATTGAAATCGTTGCTTTTATAATCAATCATAAAATACACATACTGTAAAATAATTAATTTTCATACTTACAAGAATTTATGTATCGGATCAGGAGGTAAAGCAACATAACCAGGTAAAAACGGACCTCTGTACTTCGTTCTATCGACCAATGTGTGGGTGTTGTCACCATACTGAAATCAAACACTCATGTAAAATATGAACGTATACCATATTCAATAGTGCTTTTAAAAGATTATTTATATTTCTTACAAAGCAAGATGCTAAAAATTGCGAGAGAGGCGTACCTATGAACATGACTTCGTAGAAAGTCTACATCGACAGTTGCTCCACACTATAATTGTACAATAATAATAATTTTGAAATATAGGTACTAATATTATAAATAGGTTACATTTGTGAGATCTGGATCTACTGAACTGATTTTGAAAATTCGTTTAATCTTGGGTAGTCCATTTATCGGGGAAGGTTACTGATGATGATGTTAATAATAATAGTAACCCTGAACAATCCAACCAGGGTTATCTAATCCCAAACTATACAGAGCTTGTTTCATAGGTACTAGAGAAATTATACGAATATCAAATACATTTTTTTTGTAAATACAGATAGTTTATATGTACATGACATACATAGAAAGCACCCAGACCAAAATAAACAATCATACTCGAGGAGTCGAACCCGCGATCATCGGGAGTAAGGCGGTATACTTAACCGCTAGACCACGTAGACCGTGACATTATCTACACTACAGCGGAGCGGCTACATTTTTTCCGTTTTTGCAACATTTTTCGTAAGGAAAAATGTTCCAGAAACGGGAAAATGTGACACATGCGAATTTGCGTGGATTTGTTTGTAATAAAATAAATTACCGTTTTTAAAATTGCCCTCCTCACAGTACCGTACTGGTCACTTTCTTCCCAAATGTCCCTTAAGATCTCGGCGCCTTGTTTCCTCGCGTACTCCACGATGTAGTCCAGGTTCTCCACCTGGAATGCTACATCCTTCACGAAGTCCCCGTGGTACGCCACCTCATTCGAGAACTCCGTCTCTTCAGGTTCGTATTGTGCTTGGAACACGAATATTATCTATTAAAACAAAATAACATAATAAGTGAATGTTCCTTCCGCTGCGCTGCCAGTAATATTACGAATACATAATAATTAATAGAAGCTTCATCACAGCCGCTAAATATGTAAATAAAAAGAAGAGATCTAAGAATTTAAATCATAACATTAATAATAATAAATACTAGCTGTTACTCGCGACTTCGCCCACGTAGAATAAATATAAACAATACTTGTAAAACAAAATTAGCTTAAGTTACTACATAACATTAGCTATCTATAAATGAAAGTCTCGTCAAAATCGGTCCAACCGTTTTAGAGATGAGCAAGAATAAACAGACAGATTTTTTTAAAATATCAATATATTAAGCACCACATATATATGTACTACTGTCTGTATTTAGTGAAAAATGTTAATTTGAAATTGCTAACAGCTATTTCAAATTTTATTTAAGTTTTTGCATAGTTTAATAAACGCTCTTCTAGAGCATTTATTAATCTATGCCTTGTGTGATTTGTCCAGGGATGTTATTATTATTTCATTTATTTCGGATATTTATCCATCCATATTATGTTAGTGAACAACTTATAAAAATAAATTATTGTTTTACTAATATTATAAATGTGAAAATGTGTACGTACGTCTGTTTTTACAAATTCACTACTACGAATGAATGGATTCGTAATGAAATTTGTTATTAAACATTGTATGACGAGGTTGGCATCTTTTCAGAAAATTATAGAAAGGGTTGAGTATGGGATGAATATTTAAAATAATGAAAACTGAAGCACAACCATCTCTCTTAATAAGAATTTGAGTGAACGAATTGATAATATGATGAGTAAGGATTGAAAGTTTGTGCAGATGAAGTACCGGATAAACGAAACTCCAAAAGAAATTTATACGATATATATATCAAAGGCAGTATGGTTATAGGGTAACATACACTAATATATATCCTACTATGTTTTTGTTGGGGATGGTAGGATATGACACACTCGAAGTAAGACGGAAGATTGCATTAATGGAATATGTAGTCAAAGTCATGAGAGGTGAAAAATGTAACCAAGCGGTATTAACATCGGTGTCCATAAGAGCGCCCAATAATTACGTACAAGCACGAAGACGAAACTTGTTTGATGTTCCATGGAGAAGGACGGAGCTGGCCAAACATGCTCCTATTTCTCTGGCATTGAGTCTACTCAACGGTGTTGTTAGTCGTTTTCCGGATCTAGACATATTTACTAGTAATTTGCTGGAGTTTCGTAGGATGGCAATAGATTATTTAAGTAGTATGGAAAAGTAAGATTATTATTATTGTTATTATTTTTTTATTTTATTTTTTTCTTGTGTAATTAGTGCATGTATTAGTAACTAGTGTTTTATAAGTGTGTGTATATATATACAATCTTCCTAAGTGGGCATATTGGGAAACTGTAAAGCTCACTTAGTGTGACGTAAATAAATAAATAAATAAATAATTAAGTTATCTACCCTAAAATATAGTACAGTTTATAATATAATTAAATTGTTTTACCTTATTCATTCTAACGGCGTGGGATACAATTTTTCTGGAGCCCGTCTCGAGGCCACTGTATGCGAGACACTCGAAACCAAAACGCGTGACATAGTAACTGGCTGCCTATAATAAAGCATAAAAAATAGTGGGTTCTATTTTCATAATAATTCTGGGAGTGATTTTTTAAAAATAGTGTTTTTGTTATAAAAATTAAGATTTAACGAGACATCTTCTGGATTAAACTGTGGTAACAATTATTTTAGTACAATTTGTTTTCATGTTCATCCGAAATTTTTGTGTGAAACTATGCTTTTTTACAAAACAATATCTGCTTTTATGAACAACTATAGGTTGTTATAGGAAGTTGCGTGGGTTTATAGAATTTATAAAATATTTATTTAAATACTGTTTAATTGGTGGTTCTTACCTGTTTCGCGTTTGATACCCAGAAGGTCAAATGATCGAATGATAGAAACTTTCCATTCTCTGGCTTCCTCCCTTTGTCTGTATATGAAGTCTACAAAGATGTTACAATAAATATTATATTATTTATAAAATAAAAATATATTTTCTAATTTATTATGAATTAAAAAGTATAAGTTACTTTTAACTCAGAGATTTAAAGATTAGTTTATTTTTTACTAGATGTACACGCGACTTTGTCCGCGTGGAATTCAACTTTTTTTTTCTAAAATAAAGGTAGCCTAAGTTACTCCTTATGACATCAGCTACCTGCCAATAAAAGTCCTGTCTAAATCGGCCAGCCATTTCAGAGATTAGCCGGAACAAACAGACAGACAGACAGACAAAAATTGTAAAATATGTTATTTTGGTGTATGTATCGTATTTATATTCAATATGCATGTAATAAAAAACGGTTATATTAATATTACAAACAGACACTCCAATTTTATTTATATGTATAGATTTTATTTAAAAAAAATCTTTTAATTTAACTGAAATAAAAATTGTTCAGATAAATGAAAGTAAACATTGTTACTTCGGAAAGTAGTATATGTACTTACCATTATTTTAAGAACAGCCAAACTTTTATTAGTAAATCTTTATTATTAGTTATCTACCACAAAACAACAACGTATACGTCGCTCGGAGTGTCTGTTAAGAATCAACAGTTACTTGTTTACGAACGATTTTATATTCCGACCAGATTCTGGTAATTATAATATGATTTTGCGTTTATTAATAACACTAGACTTGTAATAGATTTGTGGAGACGGAATAAGAATACACGTGTGTATTCTTCTTAACTTTTATCTAAGTTGTGGCAAGGAGAACAAAGAACTAGTGCAAGGGTGGCAAAGTGGAAATGAAGTCTTGTACAAAGTCTAAGTGTAGTAATGGGGCATCCAAAATTATAATTTAAAGGTATTAATTAAAATTTAGAACTAGAGGGTTTCGGTAAAAATTGCTTTTTTAATTATTACAATAATAAAAAAAGCAATTTTTGTACAAGAAGCAGTAATAAATATTTTTAATAATCGTTCGATTGTTTAGCCTCCACAGGATAACCATACGTGGAATGCTGGTGTCAGATTAAGGGAGAAGGGAGGTAATCGATTTCACCTAGGGCGGATTGAAAAATCGTCAAAATCACCCCCATGTAATTAATGTACTTCTCCTAATTAAACCCGTGTCAAATAGTGGGATGTCCATAGGCTGTTTCGTTAGTTTAACTAAGGATAAAGGTGCGATTACGTTACAATTTTTTTTATTTCTATCACGCATAGAAAAAAGTATGTTCTACAATGAACGCATTATCAATTGAGGGAAGATGTTTTCTCCTCATTTTCTGATCTCCTCATCCTCTCATGTAGAAAATAACATCATCATGTAATAACCCATGTAATGTTAAGATGTTAGAGATACGATGACTAAATCAAGACCGTTGACTATCATTATAATGATATTTATTTTTATTAAGGGTTTTGGGCTATTGTCAGATGTTTAAACCTGTAGCGCTGCGCCCTACATAGATCTATTTTGCTAGCCGTTTTTTCAAAGTTCGCTACCTAGACCTACTAGGGACAAAAATACGGGCCTATACTTATATCTATCCTTTTCAAATTTTATGGGATTTCATAAACCTTCGAGATAACGGTCTTTGTATAGGGCTAGAAATTATTGTAATATTGTATCATAGCATACTAAGTACGATTGCCACCACCTAGCAACAGACCTACACGTCATATATACCTGTATATTTTAAGGTGTTAAAAAGTATTAATAATTAACGTATATATATTTAAAATAATATAATGTAAATGATTTTATATACATTATAATTTTTATGCCAAATTGGAAAATACCACGACCTAACTAACATGGGACCATGTGAAAACGAGTTTATAATTACGGCGCGTAGTGATTATGAGATGATCTGACTGGTGCCGTGCTTACATAGTGTACGCACAGTGTTGCGTTACGAATTAACTGTGGACAAAAAATTTAAAGTATAATATTTTCTAAATGATTTGGTTTATAAATATTTTCAATCTATAATATTATAAAACATCAACAAAATCCAATACATATATATATATATAAAACATAGATTTTTTAATATATTGTTATAGATTAAAAATATTTATAAATATAAATATATATACACCACGTGGTAAATAGTAATATATTTGTAAAATATATTACTATTTACATGAAATTTGGATCCTGAATTTCTTTCTGAATCAACTATAATTTTTGGATCATCGATAACAATTCCAGTTGGGATAGGTACTCAGAGACTTTCTGGTAAAGTCACTCGATGTCGTGATCAACGCAACATCTCAATAAAATTTATAACTTATTAATTTTGTCCAGATGCGGAAACAAACCGGCCCACTGTGCCACTTGATAAACAATATGTAAATGTATTTCGATGTATAAAACTGGTATGGACGGAGTTCCAAGCACATAGACGGGGTGGCGCGGCGTCACATATATTTCCTGACCTAAAGTCGTTAGTCCTAGTGTTACACTGACATTATTATAGTCAGTGTATGGACTTTATACATGTATATTGCTAAGCAAAAGCTGTGAATTTACAAAAGTAGAACCTTATTAAAAAGACCTAGAAAAAATGGCTATAGAAATGTGTATTTTCTATTCTATAGAAAAAAATTAACTACTAATCATGTCAAAGTTAGTATAGTACCAAATGTTAATCTTGTAGCTGAATATAAAGTGCTGGGGGTAAATTGGGGACGTCCAGAAAATAAACGTAAATCAATATTTGTATATAAACCTAATAAAAAAACTTCAAAATACGATCAGACAGGAAATATCATATAATATAATACCTATCAGGGGAAAGGGGATCGCTACTAATGTAAACTATAACCCCATTGATAACTATGGTACAGGTACATTGTTTATATATACATATATATACATTGTCAAATTCCCCTGGAATATATATATCGTGCTAAATTAGCACTTGCCAAGATGAGCTAAATGACTTGACTGCATGCTTATTTTATCATCCTACACTGGTGCCCGCTAGCGTAGATCGTTCGTGCAGGCGGATTCATCATTTTATTATGATCGATAAAAAATATTATATCTACTTAAAAAAAACAATACTTGAATTGAATCAACAACCTTTTCAGTTGGTCAAAAATATAATCAGCGAATCTCCCGCGATATTTAGTCACAATATAATGTGAGTGTCGCAGCTGTCTCTACCCCACGTCAGTTGAGGTTCGAGTCCGGTATGAGGTGACTGCCTGCTTTGCATATTTCAAAATATTGCGCATTTATATTCTACGGGAATTTTCCTTGGCATTAATATTACGATTCCATTGCCATTTGAATACAACAAATATTTTTGTTGTGTTGTTTTTATAGAAATCGAGTAAATAACTTTGTATTAAAACAGTAGGTATTTAAATTAAATTGTTGCCACATTATTAATAGGTGTACTTTAGTATTATATTTTTACTTTGTATATTTCTTAATTAATTGCTTTTGTTGTTGTAAGTAAATTATTTACTGTATTAGTTTCGTTCACAACTAAAACAAAGAATCTTTTCTAGTCTTATTAATATTTTACTAATATTACAAATGTGGAATTTTGTCAGTGTGTTGTTTTATTATTTTACGCAAAAACTACTGAATGGATATTAATGAAACTTTACAATAATATAGATTATATATCAGAATAGCACATAAGCTATAAATTTTACGCGCGTGTAACCTCGGGCACAACTAATTTTATATATGTGAAAACAATGTAAATGTGTAACTATTTATATAAAAATTAATAATAAAATGAAATCATAACCGTTTAATTAAATCGTCTGTTATATGTGATATATTAATTTTCCTGAAGTTAATCTTCCTAAAATAAAAAGAATATATACATTACATCTTTTTGTCAACTGTAGGTCATAGTTATTAAGGTACATATGTAGTCAGGCAAAGGCAAAAAGATGTGATGCCATTCGTATGGTGTCAGGTTTTTTATTTTGGTTTTGTTTGTCTTCTAACGGAAAGGCAAAGGGGATGGTTATAGAATATCAGCGCTGTAACAATCTGCTGTCACAGCATATGCTGATTTTTTTACTGAGCAATTTACTGACATTAACATTAAATTTATTGTTAGTACTATATGTGTGATGAGTGATAGTATATTTAAACATTTCTGTATCTTATTAATCCTTCTAATTTTTTTTTCTAATATATAAAAATATGAGTATATGTATGATGTTATTGGTTATCAATAAATACCTTTCTTTCTTATATTATTGTATTGTTTTACTAATAACAAAAATAAATCACTTCGTTGTAAAATAGCACGAAATATCGGTCACCTGTGCGAAACCAAGGAAGGTGTTTGAATAATAAAAGACAAACAAATATTATATTTAAGTATTTAATGAAATTAATTTGACCTCAAATTATGGAATGTCATTGTTAATACTTATATTTAATCTTTTAATTTCAGTTTTTCTGTTTTCTCTTCAATTTTTTTATCTGCAGTTGCATCCAAGAGTTCGATCGCTTCGAAAACCCACTTGTAATTCATAGCGCCAAAACCCTGGCATAAGAAAGAAACACTTTATTATTTTATTGTAATGCTACCACGGTGGTATAGCGGTTTAGAACACCGTTTTACTTCCCATGGTCGCGAGTTCGACCTCGCACGGTACAAACATTTGTATTCATGAGTACTTATGATTGTTTCTATTGGTCTGGGTGTTTTCTATGTATTTTATGTATGTATTTACAAAAAAATATAGCTATGTATCAGTTTTCTGGTATCCATAACCCAAGCTTAGCTTGGGACTAGATGGCGCTTTGTGAATTGTCCAGTGCCATGTTAATATTATTATTATTTCATCTCTGTTATTATTATTTTGGTTCATTTCCTCAGCTTTTGCTGGTTTGTTACGCTTTGTGGGGTGAACCAAACTCACGGATCGAAACAAACCAGTGTGTGTGTGTGTACCTACGCATATGTGTGGGCATATGTATGTGTGCGTGTATTATTATTAACAACCAAATAGATATTCGGAATTATCTGTTATATTGATATTATTACCCTGTGGTTTCTTCTCTGTAATATCTCAATGAACAGCGTAGGTCGTGCTTGCAGATGTTTAGTGAACGCTTGCAGCATATACCCCCTCTCGTCGAAGTCTATCAGGATATTGTTAGCCTGGAGCGCATCGATGCCCTCTGTTACCCTGATGGGACTGTCTTTCAGCTTCTCCCTGATGAGGTCGTAGTAAGTCGGAGGCCAGGTTAGGATATCAGCACCACGTGCTTTCAAGTTCTGCATCTACGATATGGCGCAAGATTTTAATATAGCAAATATGATTATTTTTATGATAAATTTACCGCGTCTTTGTTTTTTTTTAATTTGTCAAGAAATATTATAGACAATATTGACGGTTTTTTAACAAAAATCATTTGTATGAAGTATTTAAATAGTGGAATAGTCTCGAAAAGAATAAATAAATAAGGTATTTTTTTTTATTTTATTATCAACGGAATCGCTTTTAAATACGTCATACATACAAATTATCTGCTATATTTTTTTACACGATACATGTAAAATAAATAGTTAGGTACAGATATTTAACTAACCGTGGACACGATGTCGTCTGTATACAAAGCAACATGCTCCACCCCTGAAGAGCCCAATGCTTTGACAAACTCGCTTGCCTTGCTGGTAGGACGCAGGCCTTTTGCCGCTTCGTTCATTGACAGCTACCAAACAAAAGTACAAAATATTATTAATAATAAACTTGGACAATTCACACAGCGCCTCATCTAAACTCTGAATTCGTATGACTTATTGGCTAAACATATTGTAAATCACCTCAAAAATATTAACAAAACATAAAAATATGCAGAATTACAATATTATTTTTTTTAAGTACTAACTACTAACTAATGTATATAAAATATAATAAACATATATGTATTTATATAGGCGTAATTTAGCACCCCTCCAGAGGAACATATGAAACAATTAAAATTTTAGCCGTAATAATTTCGACTGAAGTGGTTAATATCAATATAAAAAAAATTTGAGAAACAAAATTAATAAAAAAAAAGCTTCAAGCAGAGCTTGTGTTATGGGTGACAACTGATATAAACATATTGTTAATTTTTTTTGTAAATATATACATAACCATCATTATCTGATTATCTTCCTTATCCCATTTATTTGGGGTCGGCGTAATATGTTTTTCAGCTTTCACATAGTCCATCCATCTCTTTTTCGGTCTTCCTCTGCCCTTATAAGTATCCACATTAATATGTAACACCTTCCCTAATTTTATTATTGTTATCATAGCTTTAAATTTGTGGACATAAATAAAAACGCCATGATGGTATTTTCACATCTCTGTAATATTTTTATTTATAAAACAAGTGAGTGCTACGCATTCCAAATTCAAAATATGAAAGAGGTTTCATGTCCTCTACACCCTGACCGATACAAACAATCATATTCATGAATACAGATGCTTGAATGCGAGGAATCGAACTCGCGATCATCGGAAGTAAGGCGGTGTGCTAATCCGCTAGACCATCATGGCTGTTTCTGGAAAAAAAATCCGATCCAACGACATTTGATCACAACAACTCGCATCTTCTTATGCAGTTATACGTGTACATACTTGAATTATACACTAAAGATTCGTCCTAAGAGAGATATACCATCATCTGTTATTCAATACTGACAACGTTTATATGTAGATTTAGAAGTTGCATATGGAATGTGGGGCCAAAGCGATGCAGACCTTTGTCAATTAATATTTCTTAACTTTTTGCCGGCTTTGAAAGTAACTGTTTTAGTATCTAGAAAGTATATCACACGGTAATGCGGATACTTAGTTTGTTTATAGTTATTTTAGGGTTTTTGGGTTTGTCTACACGTCGTACGCTTATATGCAAAGCGTACGACGTGTAGACTACCCCCGTACTGGTGGTTGCTGAGGGTGCGAGTTGTAGGGTGTTGTGTGAATTATGTGGGCCAATCCCGGCGGCACTGCAATGCCGGGCCGACCCGTGACGGGAGTGGAGCGAGCCCCGAACATCCCGTCGGATTACAAAAATCAGTTTAATATACTGGTCCCTCAGTGAGAGAACTTTCAGATATTAAGCTGAAAAGAACAGATACTACACTTTGATCTTAGCCAAAAGGCCGAGAAGCGATAACAACCAACTTGTACCGAGGGGAGGTCATTCGGAGCGAGAAAATCTTAACATCGCCAACTAGGATTTTGCATGTATTTTAGGCAGCGCCATCTAGGAGCATTGTATGAGAACTACATCAGCTGCATTGCTTCGTTGGCATTTATGTAAGCAATCAGTTCAGTTGAATCTAAGTTCATTGATTTTGTTTTATATTTAATTTCGTTGTATTTTACAGCGATATTTTATTCATATATGGCGTACTTATAACAAATTCTCTATTTGTAATTCCTACTTTAAAGTTCCAAACTTCAATTTTATAAGAATAAAAAAGATATTCTCGACATAACACTATTCCTAGCAAATGCCTCAATGATATTGTAAAATGTGTGCAGTGCAGCAAAGGCTTTTATACATTTCTTAATTATATTGGATTCATTTTTTTAGTTTTGTCAAGTTTTCTTTGTTTTTCTTTGTCAAGATCTATTAACAGACAGAATTTCAGTGTTCAAATTTATTTATCAATTAATTTTTTTTACAAAAGGCGGATTTAATGCTATTAGATCTTATCTGTGCTATTAGTATTTGCATTTTAATTACATGCAAAATTTTACTCTTCGAAAGTCTAATGTATTGAAATTTTTTCCTCGGTATCATTATATGATCAGTACCAGTATATGTCGCCTTTTTTATATTTAAATGATTATATTTTAGATACAGATACAAAATTTATTACATTATTATTTGTAATTACAACAAAATTATTTCGTTTCTTTAAATACGAATATAGCGCCATCTAGTAAATACATTTTCTTTTACAATGCTTTGGATGGTAAAGTAACCTTACAATTAAAAGTAAGGTTATAGCGATAGATGGCAGCACTGAATAAAAAAATAATAAAAATATTTTTTGTTTATTCTCCCAAGTCTTTAGTCTAAAAATTTAGATCGTTTAGTATATTGTAAGTAATATCAGCTTCTTTCATACGAATGAATATAAGGAATCAAAGCACTAATACTTACCAATACAGTTTCATCTTGATTGATGACAGATGCTGAGTTGATACAAGAATAAGGTACCAAGTCATGACTGTAGTCTACACACCAGAATCTGAAGAAAATGAAGAAGAAGCGAAAGCTTATTAATAGTAATCTTTGAATAAGGGCGAGCACAATAGATCTATACAGGTCTTATTATTAGGTTCATTTGAAGAACAAGTAAAGAAAATAAAGTGAAATTGTAAACATGAACTAGTGAGTTTAGCTGCATATTTTAATTATGAAGTACTTGGAAAAACGGCTAATACAAATAAATCTCCATAAGATTGAAAGCTGCAGGAAGAGAAATAATAATAACTACTAGATTAAGATGAGTCAATAATCATCTTAATTTTGCAATGTTTAGGTACGCATATATCGAGTACAATATCTACGTTTTCACAAATTATCTGTTTTCCCTGTCTATTCTAATTTCACAATGTTAGTTGCTAATAGTTGCAGTTGCTATATCTATTTCTCCGAAAATGCTTAACTGATTTTGATGAACTTTAATATGTCTACTCGCAAGTGATAAAGGCGGTCCACCCCAAAAATTTAATTCTTTCCTTTTGGGCAAAGTGATTAATAATGTTAATTATGTATTTTTAATGGCACATTATAAATAGTAGGATTTTTATAATGTGCCATTAAAAATACATATTTACATACACTCTTAAATTTTCGTCCTTCTTCCACTAACCCCTATTCTTTAATACTAATATTAATGTATATGACAAAACAATGTTTGCCGGGTCTACTAGTATTTATATAAAACCTCAGAATTCAATTAGGGCTAAAAAAGTTAAAACTTTTAATAGAGTCGTATTTCTTCCATAACGAAGTAGAAGAGAAAACATTAAAGTTATACCTGTGCATGTTGAGGTTTGTCTCGTACCACGAAGCGGACTCCTCAAGAGTACCATCAGCCATATTCCCTTCTACATGATCGATGTACAACAGATTGGTATCGGGCCTGCAATATCAGAGATAATAATAATAATAACCCTGGACGATTCACTCAGCGCTATTTAGTCCCAAGTTAAGCAGAATTTCTGTTATGTGTAATAGATTGGTACCGGGCCTGTAGATTTTGCTAAGCAGATGAGGAAACGCCACTACACATCCTATGTGGTTGCAGTCCACTCATGCATAAACGAAATATCTCCTTTGAAAATACACTCTATCCTGAGAAGATAAAAACCGTCGCTCCTTCGAATATTCTTTAATACTTGTAGGTAACGTTAAAAAGGGCGAGCACAATAGATCTATACAGGTCGCAATATTACACATCTAAGCACCTGACAATAGCCCAAGACCCTCAATAAAAAAAAAATAGGGCCAGTAATTTCAGAGATTATAAAAATAATAACTTTGAAAGATTCATACAGCGTCTATTCCCAAGTTAATGTGTTATGGATATTAGACTACTTATATAATATTTGGTATTACATACATATATTAATATATATATAGAAAACACATTCCATACAATAAAATTTGGCTTTGAACGAACCATATAAATTATTATAAATGACGTCATTGGTATTGATCGAATAACTAAATGTTCTGCAAATGTTCAAAATACAAAACTTTGTTTTCAAAAAATTATAATAGATCATATGTTTGAGATGGTAAAACGAAATACTGGGTCTAGCAAAGTAATTTCCATAATTTTGTCTCATCTACTGTACTGATATAAACAGACATATGTTTGTAGTGTTACTATGTCATATTATCTTATCTGTGTTGATATAAACTAACATACAGATGAAAAGAGCTGTTTCTACCGTGCGAGGAATCGAACCCGCAACGTTGCAACGCGGTCTGCCAAACCTAGCGGATTACCGAGGCCGTTGAGATCACCGATAAACACCCACACTTGGTAGAGTCAAGAATCAATTATCTTAGGAGACATAAGTATTGTAACTTCATCGATCATAACGTAACTGTAAAGAATTGTCTACAATATTTTCAAAACACATATCCCACGTTTTAAATATGATATTAGATTGCTCTCTCTGTATATTGTAGTGTACTAATTCGTCATATATGTAAATATAGTATATATTTGATATGAATCATTAATCTTGTATTGAATACTATAGGAATAAATATGTTATTAATTATTCATTACTTATCTACATAGTTATGTGTAATGAGATCTTAAGAAAATACTGCACCTATATAATAATAATATCAGGACAATTCACACAGTGCCATCAAGACCCAAGTTAAGCTAGCTAAAGTTTGTATTAAGAGGACTAGATAACTGATACAAATAAATAGATATATGTTCTTTTTCGTAAATACATATTATACAGAGTAAAAAATCGAGACCGACACAATTTTTCAAATATTATAAAAGAATCATCTTACAAATATTAAAAAAAAAACGACTTCCAAATACAATATATACTAAGATATTTACAAACATGTATGGGATAAAAACAGATATTGAGACACTGTGGAAACATACAAAATCAGTACTTATATTTTATAGTACTTAGCTTACAAAACCGGTTCTATTCGCAAATGTGATCACATTGGTTAGGTATACAGGTTCGTTTTCTACTTACAGCAATTCACTAATTGCATCATTTTCCAATGTATTGTATCCAGGTAGAAAGATTCCTGTATATTTGGTCCGATCAATCAATGTATGCGTGTTGTCACCGTACTAAATTAAAAAAAGACAAGAAAAGAAAAATGTATTAAATTGTATGCAACAATAAAAAACACGCGCAGTAGTTTACAAATCAATTATTATAAATCTAGAACAAAATCTACATCTATATTAACATTATAAAGGGATAAAATTTATATTTTGACACCAATAATTGGACTGATTTTAAAATTCTATCACCATTAGGATACTACTGTCTATCTGTGTATTATCGCTGAGACTATGTTGGCGATATTTAATAATAACAACAAGAATAAAATTAATTTATCACTCTCTAGGATTCTTAAAAAATAATTTATGTTTAAAGTTTCAGTAAGTACAACAATAGTTATTCCTTGTGAGAATCTAGAGTCTGATCTAGGTCAAAACCTGTACTACAGATTTCCAGGCTCTCTCCGGGACCTTACAATACAATTTTAGTACAATATTTTTTGTTACTTGGAGGAATTAGGAATTCCTAAAAAATCTTCAATAAATCTTTTATCACAGCTCATCATGCGCTGTGGAAATGTCCATAAAAATATAAATATATATCGTCGGCGTGGAATACTGAGCTTGACCAAATAAAGAAAAAATATTTAGTAATCCAATCCAAAATAGTCAATGAAAAATGTTTCAGCGTTCTAACTTCAACAATGACAACTTTCTATACAAACTTTCATTTTACCCCTTAAGGGTAGATAATTTTTGAATTTTATATTTGAATGTCATATTTATATAGTTATTTAAATAAAGAAAATATTGACAATGCCAAATGTACAATATTAATTTATATGCTCTAAAAATAATTACCTACTTTATTTATACATTCTGAATATTAAACTCACCGTTCTTAAAACAGCATAGCGTATTGACCCGTTTTTATCTTTCAATACACTGATATCCTTGACAACTTCTGCGCCTCCCTTCTTAGCTCTGCGTACCAGTTCCTCTAAGTTCTGAACCTCGAAGGCTACATCCTTCACGAAGTCACCATGAGCTGTCAAATCTTTGGCAATCTCGCCGCCAACAGTAGTTGGTGATTCGAATACGATTATGACCTTAATATGGAATGGATAAGAAATATTATTAAATAGATTTATTATATATATTAGCAGGACCGTGAGCGAGACGCCATAAACCCCGGCTCATTCTACTAACTTCTTTTCTCAATCCTTCACCCTTCGGGCTATTCGTCAAAGGAACTTCTTGCCAATTTCTTTTGTAAAAAAAGTAAAATCCTACTATCTCTGACTAAAAATCTTTCTGAAAGATGCATTTATAATTACATTTTTAAAATAAACACTTTTAACTAGTTAAATCAAACCAAACCACATCAATAATCCATATTCCTGTAGGTCATTTTAGTCACCTATGAAAGGCATATTTTTTTCCCTAGTCCTCCAGTTATTAGCTAGCTATTATTCAACCACCACATTAGGAAGGTAACAAAGGTATTATATTGTTGGTAGACATTCAATTTGTGAAGCCTAGATGACACTACATAAAAATATTTAATGGATTTGTGTAATTTTGTTTAATTCTGCTACAATTAACATGTGTTTAAACTGCGACTCAACAACTTGCCGAAAAATAAACACTAGGCTTCCCAGCTAACCGAAATCTATTCATTATCTGATGAATCCACGTTCAGAGACCAAAAACGTGTTGCAATTCGGATATAGACTCAATAACGGTTTAAAAAATAGATCAGAATTAGATCACCAATAGACAAAGATGGTTGTAACGCTTCCAGTAGCAGTGATCAAATTTCTGGACGGAATATTTGTGGTCTTACACAATTACGATGTTTTTAAATTTCGTTCTCAAACGTTATGGCCATAGTGCAATGCAAAATTACAATAGATGGCGTATCGTAATGGGAAATTATTTTGAAAACATCTCTGTAAATATACAATATATTTTTAGTAATGCAGCAAGAAATATGTAAGAATTGTATACTTACTTTATTGAGTTTCACTGCATAGGATAATATCTGTCTTTCTTCAGTCGGGTCTCGTACAGCCATAGGTTTGAAACCAAACCTCGTAATGAAGTAACTGGACGCCTATAATATTAACCAAATATATTTCTTATTACTAACAGTTTATTAAAAAAAAAACAATTTTATGATAATTTATGATAATTATTTATCAAATAAACTTACATGGAAGCACTACTTATTTTTTTAACCTTCCGCTCATTCGGAACGCTGTTTGATCACAAGAAGAACATCTAAGAAACTTGCGTATTGTTCTTTTAAATAATGTATTTGTGTGACTTTCCGTTTTTTGTTGAAATATGTGAATAGAAACTACTAACTACTATTAATTCATTTCAAAATAAATATGTATATTTATTATTTTCAATGTAATTCAAAATAATAAATATACAATCAACTCGTTGAGTAAGTAAATAAAAGTAAATTCAGGCGTAGTGATTAGAGCAGATCAGGCCCTACAAGCAGCACATGTCCACGAGTAGGACGGATGATGACAATAAGATACCAAAGGATATAATAATAAAAAACATTTTGGTGTCTAGTCTCCGTAAGTCCAACATCTTCAAATGGCAAATAATAAAAACCTATACGACCCCTCTCGAGTCCAGTACATAGGCCTAATAATTATTGTATTTAGAACTGTATATACATATCAGCAATGTCCTAATTGAACCAGCTTCCAAATACTTTTACATTACACATATTACATTTTTTTATGTATATTAATTTAAACTCAAAATTCATAAGCATTCGCATAAAGTGCAAAAATTGTCGAACATAAAAGAAATTAATCGTAGACTTACCGTCTTCGCATTTGCCACCCAAAATACAAGATGATCGAAGTTTAATACCTTCCCTTCTGAATTACTCATTATTTTCTGAAATTTAAAAATATGGATTATAATATTTTGATCTGACATCTAAAGGGTAAAGTAGAGAAACACAAAATAAAAGGCTATACCAAACCACCTAGCCCGTGGCTTATAAGAAAACAAACATTGAATTATAAAATGTACTTAGTTTATATACAATTATTACCGTACTTACTTATAAATTAAATAGTTAGTCACGTATTAATTGATTGTTCTACAGTTACATTTATTTTACAAGGTAAAGTCTGCGAGAACGATGTGTCTAATTCTACACTTGGGTTGATTAGTCTAGGTCGTACCACAACTCCCATAGAGTAATATATAGTAACCCTATGTGTTGGTTATGATATCTGAAATAGAATTGATGAACACAGAACAATCTAGAATAGTTCTATGATGAATTCATTTCAAAGCCACGTGTGAACAAAACTTTCAATATGATTCTATGAAAATAATTAAGTACTTCTTAACACTACACTGGTTGCTGGTACACTGGTATTAGTTTGATACATATTTTATATGTGATGCAGACTGCTTCTGCATACATTTAGGCTTGCTTGCCAGTATCTTAGCTATCTGTATCTTAGCAACAATACTAAGTGATAAATAAACCTACATTCTTTTATGTCCAGCTTATTATATAATAATAATTTTCAAATTTCGAACGAAGATATTATAAGTTTATTGGCGACGGTTACGTTCTGTTATATTATGCTTTCAGTATATTATATATATAAACAATGCTTCCGACTGCTCCATTGAATGGAGTATGTGCTGTAGCGGTTTACATACTCTCTTACTTCCAATTGCGGGTTTCATTCTAGCACCATTCAAAGATACATATGTATTCATGAGTTTAATTACTCATTAATCTATTGGTCTAAATATTTTCTATGCATATGAAAAAGAATGTGAGCATTTCTATCAATCGCTCAATATCTATAGTGTAAGCTTCATTTACCAATCCAATCTAATGAAATAAGCTAATGTATTTTTATACACTAGCTGGTTTCATTGGTTGTGATACGTGAGGAACATACCAATAGTGAACCGATTTATATTTCCGACGGCACCTACAATTTATAGGCGTTATTTAGACAATTACCGGTTAATTAACTTCAATTAGGTGCTTGTTGGTTTGAATACAGAGTGCCACTAAAGGCGTTTGTAACAACCTTGTATTGTATTGCATCAGAAAAGACAGCGTATGTCATTTGTTCAAAATTTTTAAACGCTGTTCAATCTCCAATTAATCTGAATCTGGAAGGACAGCTGTGGTGGTTTTGATGTATTTAGCTCTTTTGAAGAAAAATGCGCGGACGCAAGAGTACCTATTGAAATTTCTCACATTTATACTAACTGTATATTAGCTGTGCCCGCGGTTTCACCCGCGTTAAATTTCAATCAAAAATATAGCCTGTGTGTTCTGATGCATAAGATTTCAAATTTCAATAGATTTCAACTGTATCTATTCGAAAAAGAATTCTCATAATTGACGCGTTTGTAAAAGACCTACTTACCTACATACGAATTGAGCCTCCATATTTTTTAAATTCATTGATAAGCAAATGCTCTTTGTGGGTTTTCTATGACGCAAGGTGAATGTTGTTAACTTCACTTCTTTTAAATAATGACGAACACTGGGGATGTTATTAACAAAAAATCTGTACATAATAACTAATTGCTGTCATAAAAAAAGTATCTAGACTTTATAAACGGTATAGAACACAAAATAATGATAAGTAGAATTTTTGCCTGTCTGTGCGTTTGAACCTGCAAACCTCAGAAATGTCATAACCGGTTTTGGTTGCGATTTACATATGTAGTAAGCATACAATTTTGTGTATTGCATCGTAGTCCCAGACTTAGCTAGTATATGTTTGTTTGTTTACAACAGTACTCTAGTACTTTTACCGCAGTACTTATATGCTAGTTGCTGGCAAAACCGATCTTTGATTATAATTAAACATTTTAAGTAACCCGAATAAAAAACTATATTAAAACGAACAAAAAAAATGTAATCTTAATTGTTTTATTCGTTTAGAAAAGTGATTCCCAAAGTGGTTTATATCGACCCCAGGGGTCTATGATAGCGGTCATCTTGTTGATTTTACTTTATGTTTTTAACATTAAACTTTACTACAGTTAGAAATTTACAAAATATCAATACCAGGTAAGAATGTGGGGTTTACCCAAAACCGAAAAATATGGGTCTACGACACAAAAAAGTTTGGGAACCTCTGGTTTAGAACCTACGATGCCACACAAACATACAGATACACCGACACATGAAACTTATAACGCCCTTATTGTTGCAACGGGGGTGAAAATATAAAACTCACCTGTTAATACCAGAAATTTAAAAATACAAACAGACAACTCGACACCGACTCCAACACTGCAGTTACAAATATAGTATTTACCAAACAGATCTCAATATTTATAAACAAGACTTATCAATACATCAGATCTAATACTATAAATCATAGACTAATTGCTAAAATAATATTTAACAGAAACATTAAAAAACCGGCCAAGTATTTGTGTAATGGCGTCGATATTCAGTACAAATTAAGTTGATATTATTGACAGAATCTTTTACCCTTGAAACCGGAACATAACTCAGATTACTGTAGAATAGAAAAGACAAACATATTTTCTTAAAAATTTTGCCTAAGTATTTTTATCCCGCGGTTTTCTGTGAATTTTTATACATAGAAATGATTGTAATTACGATAATTTTTATTTTTATTTCTAAATGGATATAATTTTTATTCAATTAAACTTAATATAAGTTTTTTAATAATCTTTTTTTTACTTTACCACTTATTTGGAAAGCAGACTCGTTACAAGAAGATTGAGAGAGAAATTTGCGTGTTGCTAAGGTCTAAAATATATATGTATATACAAAATATAAACCGTTCTCAAATAAATAAAAAATCAATCAATCAAGTTTAAAAATAACAGATATTCGTAAAAAACACTGATCTCATATACCTACGATGAATTTTGAATAAAAAAACATTTCGGTTAGAAATTCCTTAGGAAATCGTGTCTTTAGATTCAGCCAGTTTCAATTGTGCGTTGATAAACTAAATCAAGTTATCGCTTCTAGAAGATAATAGTCTAGAGGAACTTCTGGCCTTTGTAAATAAGCAATGTTTTTATTTAAATAAGTAAATACTGAAGAAAAAAAATCATTTCCTTTGATCCTAATTTTGAATGCAAATACTTGAAATAGAAAAAAAGCCCGGAATTCTTAAAAAATTTTTTTTTTTCAGATGCGCCATATACCTAGGTTTAATCCGTGAAGAGTTTCTAAACCACACAAGATTTTTCGGTAGTTTATAAAAAATACTGCATACCTACATAGTGTCAGAATCTAAATTATTACTTGCTCTGTACTCAATAATCTCTCTTGATATTATTCTCTATATTTCCATAAATACACTATTCAGTTCTAACTTTAAAATAATTCATTTTTAATTTAACTAAATCGTACACGTATTAGTTCTAAATTTAAAATAATTCGAATCTCAAATTGATTATTATGTTCGAATATTCTATACCAAAATAAAAAAAAAAACATAAAACTCAGAGATGTTATCTGTTATAGCGGATGCATGATCGAGACTATCGCAACATTTCCATAATTATGTTGCTGCAAGTTGACGTAATATATAACTAGGTAGATACATAAAATTTAAGATATAATCTGTCATATAAGTACCTACCTACCTACCGTAACACGTGACATATTATCAGTGACATAAAGAAGCACAATCTCTTGAGCGAGTGTAGTCGCAAACTCGTATATAATAAGATAATGTAACGCTATTTACAAGACAATAATAAACTCAAATTATGAGTCGCTTATGATTTTTATAAATTCCTTAGTTGAAAATATTGATATATATATATATATATATATATATACAATAAAAAACTCAAAAGCTTGTTTGATATTGATCATATTAAAAAAAAAATTAAATGAACTAATTGCTTTTTTATCAAAAGTATCATCACCATAAAAAATATACATATCTAATTAACAGATCGTCTGAATCTTATGTCATCATAACGAGTATTTTAGAGACTGAGAAAGGTCTATCGAAATTATTAAGTTAAATTATTAGTTAACTTACTCGAGTTATTATTCTCAGGGTTATACAATAATACTTCTCCTAATATCACAAAATAAAGGTTGTAAATAAAACCATCGGATCGTCCAGTAATAAAATAATTTCTTTTTATTAATTTATATTATACACATACAATTATATTTACATTTAGATCATATGTAGTCATTACATTATTAGAGTATTTACTTGCACCTACGATTCCTATAATAAGGTAAGGCACCTCTCGGAAGCTTCATTACTCGGCCAAGTTCTGGCAATGGTCGAAATAATATATTTAATATTGTACTTCATTAAATTGAATAAATAAAGAAAAAAATACCCAATAAATTCATTTCACATAATAAACCTAATATTCATTTATTTACAATAATACAATTATAAATTTTACACGAAAACTAATACAATAGACACAATTCATTACAGTTACAATAAAAAATGGAGTTGATAAACAACACGTTACATTTCGACCATAAATAAAATTCAATGTGAGACACAAAAAAAAACAGTAAAAAAAACTTTGTAATAAACAAATACAGTACACTAAAAATCAGATAAATGGACTAGGCTTTGCTCCCACTGAATTCTATTTCGCACACAGAAATCGCCATATCACTCATTATTTATTTTATTTCAATAGGTAACAACTTAACATTTAAGTACTTACTATATTTACAAACGAAATACAATAATAATTTACATAAGAAAAAGGAAATGCATGCAGCTATATAGAAATAAATTGGTATAATGTAATTGGATAAACAATTAAAAATAGTACCTACCTACTTAAAAACAAAGTGCTTTTGATGTGATTCTACATTCTATGTTTCAAGAGTCTATGATTAAAATGTTGTATCAATTAAGTCCCAGATATGACGTAAATTTGCAAATACTAATAAACAAATTCGACAAGAGTTTTCTTAACGCGTTCTGATAATGCGAAAAGGTATAGGTATTAAATCGAAATGTGTGTTATACTGAACTAAAAATGCACTGAGTTCATATTACATATATATGACAATAATTATGTCAAAACTATAGTTAAAGGGAATATCTTAGCACAAGTTTATTGTCTGTTGTACAAAAATGAAAATAATTGTTTAAAAATATTGTAATTCAACGTTTTCGCCATAATGATGATTATGTAAGTTATGTAAATTTTTACAAAACTTTGCATTTGTTTACAGGCTCCTTAGAAACATGTGCCATCATAAACAATTCTTAATAAGTAGCATAACATCAATTTAAAATCATTGTTTAATTGACTTTAAACTTCATGGCAGAATTACTGGTTGTATATTTGTCCCCATCGACTTAAAAGTATTTTTATAAGCGATATCGTTAGTAAAAAAGATTAAACGAGGAGTTGTGGCATATGGGTAGCCGTTCAGAGATAATCATCATAATTATCCATATGACTTATGTTACGATATATTGTTTGAATCAATATAATTGAAATCAGCCTTGATATATAGCTTCACAGCTTATATAATACTATAATCGTACAAAATGAATATAGGAAATAAATAATAATAATCCGAATCTCTTTTTTTTTTTTGCTCTGGTTTCCCTATCACAGGGAAGGCAAAAGGACTAAGCCACAAACTATTGACATAAGTGTCAATCATATGTCAGTATTATATTTTTTGTTTTTACTAGCGATACCACTTATATATAAGAAAAAATGTACCTACAAGTGGAAAGGCAAAGGTACGAGACCAACCAACCAAACAACATATTCTTAAATATGTCTTTAGACAATTCCTTCATCAAAATCATATTTTCATTAATATCTAAAACTACAAATTTAAAACAAAAAACACATTACAGGTGACTTCAGAAACATACAATTTTATTTGGCCGATGGGGTTTACCATACTGGGATTAGAGTTCACATATATTGATAACAGCAATATGTTACTCTCATTGTATATAATATTAAAATATTGAAATTGGGTACATTTACAATATATAAAGGAACACAAAGCACTTAAAAATGTAATAAACATTAAATATACAATAGTGGTAGATTTGGTATATACCCACGGGCGCGCCGTGTATTTGACGACGGCAGAAATGTAAAAATTTGAGATCAATCAATGTAGAAGATTCATCTTTGGGCCACTTTTACCGTCATTTTTTCGGACTACTCTAATGCTGTTGGCCGCAGCTGGCATTTACAGCTTCACCGAACGTTAGAGGGCAAGTGCAGATGGCACTCCAAACCCGCAGGACTTATGAAGCGGCTGAAGGCCAACTCCCGCCTGACGGATACGACTTTAGTCTGAGTGCACCGCTAGGGGTACCAACCTCGGCTCGGGGCGTCGTAATTTCGATCCCCGTTTGAATTGGACGGGGCATCGATCGGAGGGGATTATCGTCATATTAATTCATAATTTGTTAATTACCTACTCATGTTAAAGTAACAACCATAAATTTTGTTCTCACTCTAGATTTTAATACCCTTATTCAATCTAAAACCTCCTACAAACCCATTTCAATAGATACAATGTTCCATCTAAAGACAGTAACAGACCTATAATAGATTATATTCAGACGTTTGATGTTTCTGTATACGATGTTGTTAATTATTTTTAAGCCTAAACAATTATTAATTTTGAAATATTCAATTCGCAATAACTACTTTGTAATGATTTTTAAATAATCACATACTTTAGTAACAACTACAAAAAAGTACTTTAAAACTAAAACTATAAGTAATTTTTCATTGGATCCTTTGAATTTTTTTTTATATTGTTACACTGAAGGTGCAAATATAATAAATTACCATATAATTTGTAACTAAAAAAAATTTTTAATATTAATTACCGTTGCACAATGTTGCACCATCTTAACCATTACGAAGTCCCTATAAGAAATAAAATGTACGAGTTTCGTCTCCTATAATTATAAAATTACTTTTACAAGTAGTAAGCTAAATTTATATTTTTTTCTTCTAAAATTCTAAACGATAAAAACTCTGCCGTATTAAGAATTTATAATAAAAGAAATCAGGCAAAAGTGTCCCAATATAAATATCTGTTGAAACTTCAAAACTCAGTCAAGTACAATTACTGATTTGCTCCAGTTTAAATAAAGTATATATATACTCAACAAGCAATAATATTATATTAAGAACAGGTTTACAATATACAATATTGTACATATGTACATATAGTAGATTGTACAATATTGTACATATCACATTGACATTTAATATGTGTTTAACAAATATGCTGCTATTAAATACATATTAACTTAAAATTTGTTATTGTTGTTAACATACTATATGTTGTGTGTACAGAGTAAATAATTGTGTGAACGATAAGTATGATATAATAATAAAAGATATACCTTTAAAGCGATTCATGATTATTAGCGAAAGAAGAAAAGAATATATCTTATAATTTTGTATTCATAGAAAATAAATAGAAAATTAGAAGAAATATTTTTTCTTTTGATTTTTATGTACTTACGTATGTTTATTAAACTTTGCACAAATTGTTGTTTGGATTAACTCAAAAATATCAAGTGATTTTATCTATAGAAAGATATATAAATATACTAACTTTGACCACGTTTTCATCTGTGTGAAATTATAGCCTGTGTTATTCTGATGCATAAGCTATATAATTGTAAATCCGTTCAGTCGTTTTTGCGTGAAAGACTAACAAACATCCATCAAACCACACGCAAAGTTCCGTTTTTAAAAAAATTCTAACATTTGTTAAAAAAAAAAAAAACAAAAAACAATAATCCCTACAATATATGTGATACAGATATAATATTAAAGCTTGTTAAGTATATTCGGAGCAAACCACCAGCGTCCACAGCACGGTGCGGCCCGCTATAGAGATTTCATTTCATCAGTCTACCGTTGGATATCACAGAACTTTGCGTCGACCAGTTGCGCCCTCTCGACGACCACGCATCCGCCGGGGGCCACCAGCAGCGGTGCCGACGGCGCCCCCGCCCATACCTTCTTCACGTCTTCAGCATTGTTTTGTGCCAATGGAGGCATGTAACCGTCCCTGAAATTAAAAATAAAAAGTTATATTTTAATTTGGTGTACTGTCTATACTCACTTAGAACTAGCAGGACATGGTGTTGCCTGTGTGAAATTGGGTGAAAAATATTGTGTTAATCTATGGTATGTGTACCAAATTTAATTCGAATAAATTCTGTTTTTTATGAGTGAAAAATGTATCAAAAACCAATTTATTCTCACGAACTCAATAAACGTAGAATATTCTAGAATGATTTACCAATATCTTTACGTAGTATAAAATGAAGTCGCTTCCGCTGTTTGCTTGCTTAGATCTTTTAAATTACGCGGATTTTAATGCAGTTTATAGCAAGAGTGGTTCAAGAGAAGGGTTTATATGTATAATACATGTGCCCCCGTGCGAAAGCGGGGCGGGCAGCTAGTGTATATATCTGTGAAAATTTATAATATAATTTCGTTTATTCTGTAGTGTGAGTATCTGTAACAAATATTAGGTACTTTTTTTACATATCACTGCTGTACCTACTACCTACTACTTTTGGCGGAAAGTTTATCTACACATATCATAAGTTTATTCACCGCTGCAAGTGTAATGCCGACCAGTGCCATAGATAAAAAGATAAGAATCTACCTATATTCTATAACGATGACATGTTAAGCAGACTCTATTGCCCACATTTATAAAAAAACTTACCACAAACATATTTTGGGTATTTATGATTAGGTATATTTATATTACATTTTTATGATAAACCCTATACGGTAACTAGTCATATTTTTAAGGTAAGAAAATCAGAGTTTAATCTATGACTGGTTGACAAAGAACAATCAGCACGCAGAGTGGGCTTAATAAGAGTATAGGTTGAAATGTGTTCATGTTGAGTTGTACTTTTTCCCTTCAAATAATAATTATGTTTACTACTTTTGGATAGGTAAATCGGAGGAAATTATACCATTATCATCAATTTAAAACTATATACACTTGCTGGCTTGAAGGATGATAGGATAAATATGAAATCAGGTAAGTTAGCCCATCGTGGCAAGAATTAAACAAAATGGATTCCAGGGGAGAGGGAACGAGTACATGTCGACATAATATGGTACATTGCCAGCAAAAGGAGCCACTAGTCTCCATTACTAATAATCCCTTTCCCCTAGAAGATCTAGACTTAGACTTTGCTTAGTAACATTTATATCGAACTTGAAACTGGCAAAGCCGCATTGGTCTCGCATGGTGAATCAAGGTCACGCATTCCACAGTGAAAGTAGAACATATTTCAATGAAGTCGGTACTCACGGCTATATTAACTACAACAGGTGAAGTGAGGCTATATCTAAAGCTACATTAGCGGCCTCCTAACAGATTTGGCTGTGCAGGGAGAGAATGACGAACGGTGAAGGTGAGTGTTGATGTACGTCGGCAAAGGAAAACTGCTTGGAGTTTCTCTCTATGCCACACCATGGACCCGGTTCGGTGAATCAATGAAATGCTAAAAATTTCGTCTTTCTAATAGAGACTAGTGAATTCATTACAATAGGCGAACTAACTTGATTTCATGTTTTTGCTATCATTCTTCAGTGGTGACCCGGCAGCGTATACCGTTAGCTCAGTTGGGTGTACCATCCCATTACATTTCATAAAAACTGTAGTTTTGGTACATGGCCACTAGCAATTCGGTCCTGGTCTAAAAGTTTTGTAGACCGCCTTTCTTTTGGGAGTCCCCGGTTTGATTGCTCGTACGATGCAAACATTTGGTTGCATAAATAAGATTGTTGGTATTGGATTGATTGATTGTTTATTGTATTGGTTTTCTGTGTATATTATGTAAGTATTTAAGTCTTTGTATCCGTTGTCTAGTACTAACAAAGCAAGCTCTGCTTAGCTTAAGACTAGATGGCGCTGTGGAAATTGACAAGGCTTATATGTATAGTATTATTAATTCAATATAACATACCTAAGTTTTCTATCCGCATGTAATAATGCATCAGCCTTCAGGAGCCGTACAGCAACAGCGACCAGCAGGAAGAGTATCAGGGCTCCACAGACTGGAACAGCTATGGTAGCGGCTTTGAACCACACCTCGCCGTTGTAGTTGGCGCCATGTTCGCTCTCTACTGTGTTGCCATCTGGAAAAAATAAAACATAATTATAGTTTCACTAGCTCACAATGGTGGAGGGTGAATTTTAGATCTACCTATAGCTACGTACTGCGAGTAACATCTACTGTACTCAGGGATGCCAACTGTACGGAAAAACTCATGTAGTCACGAGACTTGACGTTTTGGAATGATTTACGTGAACATTTGCATTAGAGTAATTGTTTAATACTATGTTGGACTGCTCAGTTGCACTATGTACGGTATTTTTGACATCTTCGTGTGAAGTATAAAAAGTAATGCTGACAACCCTGACTGTATTATAATTTTTAAAAATTCGATATATCTGAAATAATGGTACCTTTTCTTATTGTATTTATAATGACAAATAAGCTGACAGCCAACCTACTAATTAACCTGTTAACGGTCCGTTATAACAAGAACAGTCATACACTTAAACAAGAAAGACAAGACTAAGATGTTGTACCTCTTATGCTGTAATTTTATTTATTTATGTCGCATTAGTTGATATTTTACTGCCTTATACATAACTTTTCATCGAAGCAAACAAAGCTGCTTACAAAGCAAGCTGCTTGGCATCTGACCGTGCGAAGCTAATGCCCAAATGTATTGTCAAGTCAGTAAAAAGTATATCACTATTACATTTGGTACGTCAAAATAAAGTCTATACGACCCAACATGCGATTCAATTCACAGAAAAAGCTTCGTCTCGGATCGAGTACCAGGAATATAATAACTGCATAGACACTTAATGAATTATATCGGAAACTCGTATGTGTACAATGTGATAACAATGGCGTGATCGAAATTTGTGTGTCATTTCGTTGTAAGTCTATCTGTGAGAATTGAGAGTAACCGGAATGACTACGTATGAATTCTGGAGATTATTTGTAGAGCCTTTTTTTGTAATCTTATACGTCAATATATTTTTTTTATTGGATAATAATGTAATGGTGTACACGCCTGCACATATACATATATACTAACGGGGCACCAGGGGAGCATGATAAGATGAAGTTGGGTCAAGGAATTTGCCACGATGGTTTCCAGGTGGAGCCGCGTAAAGGACATCCTAACACAGTGTCCGTTGATATATTATATTTGCATTTTTTTACCGAGTCATACAGTTTGAATGTTGTATGGACTGACGTACGGATTGAACGGTTTCAAATATTTCGCTAGCTGTTACGCTGTTAGCTGTTACGCGCGACTTCGTCTGCATTTTTATATCCAATTTGCTTGACACAATATATACACTTATACATTTATTCAAGGATAATAGCAACACTATAACCCATATTTAGATATGGCAATACATCCAGATATAATAGAACATCACTGAAAATGGACAGGTATTGTAAATGGCGTGGGTACATAGAGTTAATACGTCCACCACTATAATTACGATAGCTTGGCAATATAATTTTAATGTCAAGACTCTAGTTGTAATATCAAATATAATTACGATAGGAAGGCAATATAATTTTGATAAATGACATATATAGACTAGTAAATGTCAGGGTAAATACTGCATAAAATTAGTAATTTATTTACTTTTTCTTGTAACATCTTAATTGAAACATCCGTGCGCGCAATAGCCCCGTGGCACAGTGGTTCAAGATGCGGATAGTACCAGACTTGGACCTAGTAATAGTTAGTTCTAATCCGATACCATAAAACTTTATGTTATACTAGTTGTGCCCGCGGTTTCATCCGTATGAAATTTGTAGCCTAGAAGTTATGCTGATGTATAAGCTATATTACTGTAAAGTGTCATCAAAATCCGTTCAGTAGTTTTTGCGTGAAAGAGTACCAAACATCTATAATCACAATCTTTCGCGATTATAATATTAATAAGATCTACTGACAGTTCGGTGATGGAAACACCTATAACAAGGTCTCGTCCCTTGCCATGGTGGATTTAAATATATCTGTCAAAATGTGGGCATCACATCATTGAGATCTTCGACAAATTACAGTGCTACTGACTATCCCATCTGGAATAATAGTCTTGAAATATGTGGCATGTATTATAAGTATAAATTACTGGTTGTTACCAGAGAGTTTAGTCTGCTTCTTTTAAAAACAAAATAATCTATGCTCCTCGTAATACAATTTACATCCTCTACAAATTTCATTTGAAATCGTACAGCCGTTTATACGTGAATAGGAAAAAAAAAGACATACAAACCTACGCATGTATTATTAGTATGGATACATAATACAGAAGACACAAGAAAACACCGTACATAATCTACCAACTTCGATAATTCATACTCTACCGACGATAATCGTTTCGCCCGCGGCTGAAACAATTTCTATTGCGATGTACAATTGTTTTAACATATTCCACATTATTCCTTTGTTAGAATTAACTCCACTCACAACCACAGGAAAATGCACCCTACCCCACTAGTTGTAGAGTCACAATTGGATACTACCAACAGGTCGGTATTAATCGACTGGTATAAATAGCAGAGAACCTGTTCAGAATACTGTGTATCCCGGAGTAATTTATCTGTGTACTTAATATACGGGGATTGCTATGGAAGCCGGCATTGCAGTTTTCTGGATATATTTATTGTGGGTATTACGTTGGAATTCGATTGGATTACAGCAGAGTTGTAACTATGTAATAATCTCTTATCGGAGATTGTAATTAAATAGTCTTAGTTCTTCTTTAAATTAGAACGGTTTGCCAAGCTTTCGGTCTCCATAGTGGAAAGTAAGCGTATCATTTAAAAACCTATGTATATTATCAGCGAGTAATATAGTTTATTTTATTATTATAGAGATTCTTATAATTTGGCAACATTTAAACATATATAAAGGGGAATGTGATTGTTAGTAATGTGGAGTAATAACCCCATTGTTAGCAATGTACTATATCAGGTTGGCCTCCGCGTGGTTTCCCCTGAAAACTACCGTGATAAAGATTCCTGGTGAATTTGCCACATTGGGCTGACTGACTTGGCCTCTTAATAATCTTATCATCCTCCCCTGGTGCCCCGCCAGCGTATCATTCCATTATCATCCAATAAAAAATTAGATTGGAATCTTTTAGATCTGTATACCTAGAATAGGAGTATTTACATTAATTATACATTCTCCTATTAATCATTACCGTCTAGAGAGAACACTTTAAAAAAGACTTGTTACCATATCGTACTTGGGGAGGAAAAGGGGGTTTATTAGTAATGGGTACTAGTGATCCATTGCTTGTAATATAATTGTCATAGCATGGCATCCACATGGGGACCATGTGAATGTCAATTTGAAAACTATCATAGTTAATTTCTTGTCAATTCGTTATAACTGACCTAACTTCATGCTCATCTACCATCTCCTAGAACCTCAACATTCCGCTATCATAAATAAAAAAGACTATTCCGCATATGACATAACGCAAACGTGAAAATATGTCTCAAGCAAATCTGACGCTAGAAACATTCTCTTCCACCTCATACATTATGTATTTATCTTTCAATTATATCAACGATGTAGTACATCTAATGCAATTTAATGCCGCATTATGTGTGCGATTACTTTTTGTCTTAATTGCTTCACTAACAAAGTACTAGGCTTTCACAACCGGTTCTAGATTTATACAGCGATGCGGAGAGATTTACGGCACAGAAAACGATTTCAGTATAACCATTTATGGATATTGTTGGTAATTCGAAATAGTGAGCGGAATAAGTTTGTATTAAGATGAATTTATAAGTTCAATATTTACAGCAGAAAACGTGAAATTAGGGTTATTGTAGTTAGCATATGGACACTAATGTTATAAGAGAGAGCTAATTTTGTGTGTATATATGTTGATGGGTACCTTGTTGTGGTTGAGTACTTTTGGGTTGAGATCGGCCAAATAATATGCACTTCTGGAGAATACAATTGTATTTTCCTCTATTTTAGAATTGTGTCAAGATTGTTCCATTTGACATTGTCTATAGGCAATGTACCTTGTCAGATTTACCTTCTCGCAGTTCCTCCTGGAAACCATTATGTTAAATACCTGGTGATTTGGCACGATGGGCTGACTAATCTCATGCTCTTCTTATATCTACTGGTGCCTCGCTAGCGTAAATGCTGGCGGGTGCACAATTCCATTATCATCCATAAAAAAAAATTCGTTTAGCCATTTCTTGTGAAATGTTAATGAACAGACATATTGTGTTTATAATATTGTTATGGATAAAATGGATACCCACACATAGTAGCATAGTATACAAATAAATTTTATGACTAATATGTTTCTACTTTTACAACTATTTATTTGTGTATGAATAATTGATATGTATTATGTTTGTGTTTATGTGTTTAGTGTCACGCTAATTGGAATATTTCTTTTCAGAGCAATATAAATGAGAGAGGTCTATATTAGTTTTTTATTCATGACATTTTAATAGTTTATTTCTATTGAAATCTCTACCGGTTTCATTTGATGGTATAAGAATGGTATTACAATGGTATTCTTTATATGCAATAAATTCTTATAAACTGTTGTGTTTTGGCATTAGCGTCTTAATAAATATTTTGGATTGATTTGGATGAAATTTTGTGCGCATATTTGAATGGGTACCTGGATGTCGTGAAAACTTAATTTTACCCGATAGTTGGGCTAGTTTTCCGGGCAGGACATCGTCTATTGGGTTCATTCGCCATAATTATTACGATAATAGTTACTCTGTACAACTGTATTATCACCAATTGATATAATATCTAATGTTGCATAAAACTTATGTTTAATATTATAAATGAGTATATTTTAAAATATATTTACTGTTTCGTTTCAATATTTTTTTAATACAATTCAAAGTAGTTTAAAGTTAGTATTAAGTATGAACCTAATTTTATTCAAGACATAAAATGTAAAAGAATAAATAGAATAACAATGTGCTAAGTAAAAAAATAACGAATAAATATTAGAATAGGAAGTTCGCTGATTAGCCCGACGCCTGCAAGTTAGGCTTAGTATACGCCAGTGCAAAAGCGTAATATTTACCACCCAGGGTAAATGCGCTTTATCGCCACAATGTATCATTACCCGTACCTTAATTGGCCGTGGCTCTGGGTGTCCACGACGTATATTTACGGCTTATGGATGTCGAATTAGAACGCGTTCATGTTAATGAGCAGAGCGGTTAATATCTGGTCGTGCTATGAAATTTTGCAATTTTTATTACAGTCATAAATGTTGTTTTGTCATAAAAGTCGATAAACTGCTATTTTAACGATAAATGGCTCATCTTTATGATAAACTTGTTTCTTAAGTCTTAACTTTTAACCGTGATTACTTTTATTATGGTATGAATAAAAAAAGTTATAAATACACTATATTTTATGTGTATTTGAGCGATATCTTCGCTGTTAAAATTAAGACTCAATTAAATTAGTCTTATTATAGACAAAAAAATTCCTAAACCAATCTGTTTTAAAGATGCTTTATAGCTATCTTTCAAATTACAAAAACAACCGGAAAGAAGACGAGAAAAGGGGTCAATAACTAAAATAGGTAAATGTTAAATCTAAAAAAAAAATAAAGGTCTACTAAACGGCGCATACATTCATGATTTGTACGTGCTCTTGATTATCATATAATCTCGGCGAGAAATCAACTATACAAGTAAGCGTTTACGTGGTTGGCATTCACGTAATTACGAACATTACACGCACTTCATGTCCTCTTTATTGTTCGACAAAAATACCTAAATGCACTAGTGTACACTAGCCGTAATGCGTAATTATCGTTTACTGCCTACATCGTGTTGTGAGTCAGAATAATTTAAATTGTGACTACATTCTAATTTTAAACTGCAATGTGTGTGGCTATCTGTATTATTCATAAAAATATATAAAGTTTGGCTCCATAGAGCGAGAACAAACACACCCGTCGCGAAAATAAGTTTATTACATACTCCATGTTTTTATGACTATGAGCTATAAACATGTGAAGTACATGATATACTGAAAAGATACGAATAAATTATTGAATTGAATGATTAACATTTAAACTTAATAGTTATTATTGACATTTTTAAATATTTATTTTAAATTTAGGAAGATAATCTTAGTAAATTAAAGAATCCTTAGGAATGTTATCGCTACCGCACGCTTGTCATAAAATGACAATGTCTTCAGTCTTATTGCCAATTAATAACATATCTATAACATATAATTTTATACAGTTTTAATATTATTTAAGTTTCTATAATTTCATGTCATCATTGTAAAAAATATATTTTTACTTCTTTCATAGTCTTTCTTATGTCTAACGATTGTCTTCCGCCTTATTGCCAATTCATAACATATATGTATATTATATTATATAGTTTTGTTGTTATATATTTTTTATAATTTCATGTTATCATTTAACAAAAAAAACTTTTCTTTCCTTCTTACTCTTTCTTATGTGTTACGATACGATTATATGATAGGTTCGTGAGTTTTGTCTAGGTCTACTACCTATACAGTTACAGTTAAAAAATCAGGCTGTATTCAGCCATCTATTCCTAGTTCAAGATTGTCAGTGTAAGCATTGATTTAAGGCTTATGATCTGGAAGTGTCAATGCACGGAGAATGCCAGTGGGCGACAATGAAGTGTACTTTTGTTTATGTCTACAGTCGATATCATTCATCAGATGATTTGTCAGCTAGTTTGTTCCGAGTAGTGCAAAAAATACCTTACCTAAGTCATTTGCGGTCATGTTGAGCCTCGCTCGTGCAATTGGACTGTCCTCATGATTGCACAAGTCTCGGAAACAGCACAGCAACAATGAATGGCCTGCTGAAGAGGGCGTCCCGCCTGGTGAGTTTTGGCAGTGCGACAGCGCCTCGTTTTCCCTGAAATAAAAAAGTTATGGCTTAGAAAAAACGATTGGTAATTGAAATATAGATAGTTTTTTAATTTTCTTATCACCTTGTTCTTGTTTTATGATAATCTGTAGATATTAAAAACGTATTTGTAAAATTTAATTTGCTCTATCTCGAAGTAGACTTTGTACTCGTACAAATTCACCTGTCTCTTACCTATTTCTGCCGCTTAGCAGCTTGTTTGCATGTTCTTGTTTAAACACTCACCGTCCAATATGGCAATATATGGCAGTGACGTCACAGGATACAGAGAAAACATCTTAGTCCTTAGGAGCGGGAATGGATAAGAGATGCCAAGGGCGTCACAATGATATAATGCTGTCGATATATTTAACCGATGTTTACTTTCTATCAGCTAAACCTATCAGCTTGTTTGCCAGTTACATAAATCATTGGATCATTTTATGAAGATTCCAAATTTAAACAGCAAAAACACTAAAACAGCATTACATGTTTAAATTTGGAATCTTCTTCACACAATGTTCTACAACTTTCTAGCACATCGCAGACTGTCATTGGCCTTTCACATTTGACCGGTTATTGGCAAGGCCGTTCCACAAGGCAGTTGAGTGGAAGATGTCTTCCCATAAACATAATTAACGACTACTATATTATTTGTATTTTGATAATATACTATATGACCGGTTTGGATACGGCCTTGCCGATGCTATTCTAAATGTGATTAAATCAATATTAATTTTATCGTTTTGTTGGGATGCTTTAAAATGTATTTTATATTTTTAAATTAACAAAAAATCGACATATATAAGTAGAGAGTGGTGGGGAAACTACGGAAATAAAAGGAACGTTAAATATGCTTTCTATAGAGGAGCTTCCTCCAGCGTACTCTTAGACACAACTGTAAAGTGTCTAAGAGTACGCTGCAGGAAGCTCCTCTAAAAGGCACTGTCCGAGACCACACAGGTTCCAGCACGAGAGTATGAATTCCCTGTCGATGGCGATCAGTGCGATGGTAAAAGGTACTCGTAGATATCATGTCGAACAATTCTTAAGAACAGTTATATTCTGTAGAATACACAAATAATGCGGCTTAAAGAGGCCAAGTTGTACATTGTATACAAGTGATTACAGATCGAAAGAATAACAAGATTCAATAATTACTCACTAAATAACTAGCTAATTACTGTACGTAGATCTTACGGTGTTTTTATTGGCACAAATTAATTTCAACACGCACGAGGTTTAACAGTGTTGATAGTAGAAAAAATGGCCTCGTAAGCAGGGATGCCTACCGTACGATGATCCTCGTGTATATATTATTTTTTATAATAGATGATAATGGAATGGTGCACCCGACTGTGTTAACTAAAAGCGGGGCACAGTTGTGGATGATTAGATGAATATGAGGTCAGGTACGTTTGCTCTTTGTGGCAAATTCACAAAGAACTTTACATGTTTTCCAGGGGGAACCGCTTGGAGGTCAACCTGACATGGTATATTGCTACCAATGGTGTTATTAACCCACATTACTAACAGTCCCCTTCCCCACGATTTTTTACTTTTGTACGAAGGATATTTTCACCCTTATACAAGTTTGTACTATTACTATTATGACGTACGAAATGTTGTCAAAATACTGTGTCAACTGAAATAGTCAAATCGAGATAATGTATGACATTTTATTCGATTATTTCATCATATGTGATTCTACGGGTACCAACCCTAGTCTTAAGGCATCTATTATATATCGTTGGTAACAAGAAGTTAGTAAAGTAGGTATTAAATTACCAAATTTACCTACCAGTAACGCAACCAACTCTAATAGTGCGGTAATTGTGGTTTAAATAACGGGAGATATAATTGTAGGATTAAGTAATTCTATTCAGCTATTTAATATCCAGATGGAGCTGTGTGAAATCTACTTAGTTATTGTAAGTACGCTATAAAATAAAATATACTTGTACTGTTTATATTAATAACTTTACGAGTATCCAAATAACTGATAACATTGACGTAATATATTAATGATATTGTAATTTATAAACAAAAATTATAATGTTTTACTATTTTTTTATATACCTGAATTACTTATGCAATAAATACTAATACATTACTGTAAATAATAATTCTAGTTATGTGAAAATATAGGATATCCAAGAATGGGAATATTTCAAATTAATAAAAACAACAAAAACAAAAGCCACTCTGTCATCATTTATAATGGACTAACATGTATATATTATAGGGACTAGAATTATTTCTAAGTTCACTTTATTTCAAATTCTTGTACATATCTGGACTTAATTTATATATATCAGAGCTACTAACAATTCTCGATAGTAACAGAACAAAATCGGTGGGATTGCGATTGTTACTTAGAAACCAATAATTGCAATTACACGATAAATTGTTTAGTTCGCAAAAGTGGTCATATAAAATCGTAAACTGTATATTTTAAGCTGTTTCAAATGAAAATCAGAAATAATTGCGTTTCATAATTAAACGCTGTCGCTTATGAGTTACGGCATCCACAACATTGCTATCCGTGCCGTATAGCATCGTGTAATGATTACAACAGTTTCGCAAACGTTTAATGTTCGGCATATCATTATTTGTTTTAGTATAAACGTTCGTTTTTTATTCGACTTCTGTCAATCGGTATGGGACTTAGAAGTTCCGGGTTGCTACTCAGTTAATAGACATTAATATAAATAGCAATATAGACCTTCAGTTTTTATACGCGACTGTGCTAAAAAAACTTTTATGACTATTCTCGATATATGTATCAAGAATATAATAAATATGAGTTTTTTTTGGAAATATATTGTTTCGTATATATGTATAAAAAATTATATAAAGTAATTTAAATTCTCATACAAAACATAGGTATAGAATTAGTTTGGTAATTTTTTTTATGTTCATTCAATATTCATTAAATGAAATAAAATGTATTATGTGAAGAAATATTATTCTCTTGAATAAGCACTTTTTGTTTTTATTAAATACTTTCAATAATTTTACAAATGTAAAAGTATTTTTTTATTCGTATATATATTTTACTATAATATAGTAGGACATATCTATAGTATTTGGGATGACGAAGCTCGAAGATAGGTTACTTTCATATTGATCAATCAAATTGTTTTAACTACTCTAATGTTGGCTGCGGCTGGCCTTTACAGCTTCACGGAACGATAGAGGGCAACTGCAGATAGTACTCCAAACCTGCGGAAGGACTTGGACTTGGAGCGGCTAAAGGCCAACTGCTGCCTGATACGATTTTAATCGGAGGTGCCCTCAGACTAAAGTCGAGCTAGAGGTTCGAAGCTCGGGGCTCAGGGCGTTCGATATTTCGATTCCTGTTTGAATTGGACTGAGGATACTAATTAATGTATAATAAAGAAATCGTAAGGCTCGAAAGGCCCATCCTAAAGTAACATAATAAATTTCAGGTAAGCGAAGTCGCGAGAAACAACTACTTTTAAATTCTAACGATAAAAAGCCTATTTATAGAAGAAACATTGTGGTCAACGGTCATCACTATGGACTTGCGTACATGAGATAATTCACATTACATAGAGTCCAGGGATGGCAACCGTACAAGAAACTTAGTATACGTACGAAATATTTATCCTTCAATACGAAGAGATTTTTGTACAATTGTGTAACCAAAAATTGAATTCATTCAAAATATTATACGAAATTGGAGAGCCAAATTGATCCAGTATTAGTATACTGTAGTGTATGTGTGATTTTTGAGTTCTTTGCATAAGGGAACTTTTTTTAGTTGACAACCCTGATAGAGTCAGTCTAGCCGTCATACAAACAGAATACAAATTAGTGTTTTCGTTGCAAACGGCTCAGTCCTCAATTCGGTTCTCACGGACAGACGAAAAATTTACATTAATTCAATACACGTAACGTAATATTACTATTTGAATATTGAACACGAACGAACATATGGCCAGTTTTGTGTATGTATAAAGATTATTAATTTCTTGCAAGTTCGTTGACATGATGCTGTGAAATGACATCAGATTTTAATGGATTAACAGTACCCGAAATATATTCCTAGCGTTAATATACTGATATATTCAACAGGTTTTGCATTAAGTAGTAACAACTTTAAGCAATTATTAAGATTTTTTACAGTTTATAATATTATTTTTAATTATACTGTCAAGTAATAAATTAACCCCTCTCTTAAATACGTTAAGGTATATTTTTAACTGACCGACCAGCAAATTCCTTTGCGTCATTTGTTCCGATTTTGCAACATTGCTGTTCCACGCCTATTAGTCCTAGCGTGATGTTATTTGGCTAACCTTCCTCGATGAATGGGCTATCCAACGTTCAAAGATTTTTTCAATTCCGAACCAGTAGTTACAGATGTCAGCACGTTCAAGTAAACAAACATACACTTTCTATATCTTAGTATACATTTGAAAGAAAACGAATCAACATGCCAGGGCTATCTATATATTCTATCGTATAAAAAACAGTAGTAGATTTTATTTTGAAAGTTAGATTAGATGTAGCCTCTTGTATAAATTTTCGATCAAAAAGAAAACAGAATCTCAATTCATTCTCAAAATAAAATACACACATATACATTCACAATTTTCCTTCATTATTAATGTTAAGTAATCAGCAACTATAAGTAGATACTTATAGAATCGAACAATGTTCGACATTATTTATTATACAACGACATTTACACAACATAACTCGTATATGTACAATACATACACATTCTAAGTTAGTGATTGAAAATTAAAAATAGAACATCTCGATGTATACTTGTTTCCTTATTCTCTATATGCAAATCAGTGTTTGCTATGTAAATGATCCGCCATACTGTTTATTCAAATTGATATCTAAAGATTTATAATCGATGATTTAGTATTACAATAATCGTGTTTCTCATGGGAACCGTTGTCGATGGTCTGCGATATGCGATAGAGAATTTAAATGCCGATTCCGTATCTCCTTAATTAGTGGTGATCATT